GTACGTAAATGTGGCTGAAATGTGGCTGAGGTGGCTGATAGTAAGAAAGACGATGTACCGTATGGCCTCTCACAGGAGCCCCCCTTAAACTCGTGGAGGTGGATGGGGAGGAGGCTGGTCCCAATCTCGAGCATCGATGCGACTTTAATACTCTCTGGCAGTCGGGATGGTCGAGTACACGGTTCGCATCGTCGCACAGCCCAGAGCTCTGTGGTGCACAAGGTTCAACCTATACGCGTGGCAGCGATCCTTGTTGGCACGTACCGTATCGTAAGTGCATCCGCTACACGAGGGACCGTGTTCTGTGGTATCCTCTAGCAAGTAGATCATTTCGTAAGGCTACAGAAAATTGTCCGCAAAGGCTCGGCGAGGGTACGTAGCTCATACAGTGAGACAGATAGGGTATAGGCATGTGTGGTGGGGGAGGGGAGGTCCGAAGGAACGAGAAAAAAATTAGAAAATAGCGCACTGATGAGCGTAGGTGAACGGAGGTGGGGAAGTTGGGTAGGTAGTTTGTCCGGCAAATACAAGAAGAAAGAACAAAACAACAAATGTTCGAGAAGAATAGTCCAGGACAGACAAAAGAAAGATGGAACAAGGAGCGGGTGTATCGTCTGTTGCTACATGTCGTAGATCGTCGTTGCTTAACCAGTAGGGGCCAGACAAGACAGCTCAAGCGCCAACTTGGGACTGGTTGCGGAACAAGGCCGACTTGGAGTGGGCGAGTCGGCGGAAGGCATTGCTGACAGCGTGCGGTTCCGTCGGCTCGACGGAGTCTTCGCCATCCTTGTCCTTCTCTTGGCCCTTGTTGGTATTGCCAAACATCCTGCTGAGGAAGCTACCCGAGGAAGTACCGATGTCCGACACATTACGGGGCATTGCGGGCATCGTTGCACTTGCCGACAACGACGTCGGAACAAAGGTCTGCTGGCCGTGAGTGTGAGCGCTTCTCCCAGACGTGCTGAGACCTCCGCCCAAACCAGTCGTGACATTGAAAACGATTTCGGAGTCGGTCGACGAAGGAGAGGAGTCCTGAGACACGCCGTTGATGAGGTTAGATGCCTTCCTCTTCTCTCCGATTGTCGCGTCTGACTTGACAGTGCACGTCGAAGCCGTCGAGACCTTCCTGCCTTGTCTGAACGCGTAGGACGGCACACGCTGCAGAGTGAACTTCTTATCCATGACCTCGTGCTCTTGCAAGTCCTTGATCTCAACCTCGCAATCAGATGGTTCCGGAGAAGTAGGTGCAGATTCACCGCTGTCGGATGTCGTTGAGCCAGACTCCGAGTCGCCACTAATGCTAGCGTCATCAGAACCGCTGCTGCTGGAAGATGACTCCCGAGTCACAGGACGAGGGCGAGGGCTGTCCGTAGGAGCTCCAGAACTACCTAAGTACTGCGTAGAGATCCGCTTCATCAGTCGTTGAACACCAGCCAAGGAGCCAGTCAACGGTGGAAGAGCAGGAGGCACAGCATCGTGAGGAGGTGTCGGCGGCATCGAGGCTTGGACACGGGCCTTAGCACGGCTGACCGCAGCGGCACGAGCCTCCTTCGCAGAAGCCAGACAGGGAGAGCGGAGCTTAGGCATGAAGGGAGCGAAGTGCAAGATCGCCTCAGGCTCGTCGAACCGCAGATCATAGTCCAAGATGAACAGCAGCTGCTTCTCCATAAGGTTGATCTCGGCCAAGTCGAACAGAGAGGCGTAGATGCCCCAGCACTTGTTCTTCGGCGACGAGTCGTTGAGATACTTGGCAGCCACGATGAGGGTCGCCAGAAACACACGGTGTCTCGTGCAGGGCATACCTACGAGGCGATGAGCGCGAAACGCGTGCGACAGGATGAGGCTTACCCTTCGCCATCTTGGGCAGCTTCGTCCGAAGACGCTCAAGGTAGATCAACGTCGTCAGCAGAGTGGGGACCTGGACGTTGGACGCCTGCACGATCATGATGATGAAGTCCTGCAGTGACGGGAGACCCGGCGCCTGAGCCAGAGATTGCAGCTTCTCGTCATCGCTGAATGTCGTCTTCTGCGGCGTGTGCGGCGGAGTCGGAAGAGGGTCCTCAGTCAGCCTGATCACCCTGGTCGCCTGCAGCGCGATATAGCAGATCATGTCGTACGAGACTGGTTGACGCATGAGGTCAACCAGCTCCGGATTATGTACGGATCGCGGTAGGAGAGAGGCAGGGTGACGACGATCTAGAGACATGTTTTATGAGGGAGAGTGGGTTATTTTAGAGGTGGGTGCCCGTCGAGGGACAAAAAGTGAAAAAGAAAGAAAATAAAGCGAACGAGGAAGAGAGCAGAGGAGGAGGCGACGCGTGCTTTATAGTTGAACCAAGCGATCGTCGATGGCGCGCAAACAAACAGACAGCGTCCCGTCAATCCCGTCGATCACGTCCGACTGCTTTGGGGAACTGGCAGCAGAAAGATGAGAGCAGAGGAAGAATAGAAGGAAAGAAAAGGGAGGAGAGGAGAGACCGTGCAGCGGGATCAGTCTAGCTGCACTAATTTATAGCCTACATTTCGTATCTGACCGGGCTCCCAAAACCAGCAGAGGCTGACTAGCATGCCCTTCTCAGTCACTCGTACCGAGTACGAGCAGTATGACAGCCTGACACGTGCCCCAGCATGTATCGAAATCCTGACTGAAGTCCATGACATTCAAATGCAGTCTGTACGATATGGCGCGAGCGATGCGGACCGGTACATTCGAAGGGCGGAAACAGTCACTGTGCTGGTTGCCAGAAGAGACGATGGTCGCCTCATTCACGTCATCACAATACCTTGACGTATGCGGCAGGAACGAGTCCTCTTCGGCCGTCCATCTCTCCAGTCCACCTGCGAGAACAAGCAGTCAGATGGTCCGAGAAGACGTAAGAATGCGACCGGAACGTACCAGTCGTCCGATGTTCTCTCAATAATGACAAGCCTTTGACCCGCGGTAATTTCGAGATCGCCTGGATCCTGTAGGTAGGTTAGCGAGTACAATGGCGACGTAGAGAGTGCAGAGTCCATACCTCGCTCGAGTAGTCATACAGTGCTTCCGCCGGCTCTCCTTCCGGCTCCTGCTGCCGAGACCTCACCGGTGGCGGCGGCGGCGGCGGCGGCGGTGGTGAGGGAGTCGTTGCTGCAGTCGCAGTCGTCGCATCCAGCCTTCGAACTGGTGGTGGCGCGAAGTTGTTCTTCCTAGCCGAGAATGCAGGTGGGAGTATCGGTTCGGGCGCCGTCGCAGTCTTGTTCGCTGTTGAGTGACGGAGAGAGGAGAACATGGCCGGTCCGGAAGAGATATCGACATCGCCAAATTTCTGGACAACGTTCAGAGTGACCATTGGGACACGTCGTTTATGACATACCTTATGGGGTACAAGCTTGTTGGTCTCAGCCTGCTCCTCGGAGCTCGTGGAAGTGGCTCCTCTTCGAGGGGGCGGACGGGGAATAGGAGCACCAGAGGAGTTGAACGCAGCTGCTGCTGCTGCGACACGACCGCTGACCGAACTGCTGTTCACATCCTCAGCACTGCTGGATGCCTATCCCCAAACCAAAGCATCATTGACATCATCTATAGGTGCATAAGTAGACGCGAAGAAGTACGCTCACGGGATAGTTGAGATTCGGCATAGACTTTTTCAAGCCACTAATCGTAGATGCAGCCTGTTGCGGGGTCGTCTTGCTGAACGCATGCTGGAGTGCCGACGCAGCAGCAGCGTGCCCAGCATCCGCGCCTGCGCCGCCGCCTGCATGACTTAAAAGATCTGGGCGAGAGGAGAAGTATCTGCGGCGAGCAGTGGCGGTCAGTGTGCCACGAAGTTCCACATGGACCGACTTTGTTCTTTTTGATGATCAAATTTCGCAAGGATTACTCACTCGTCCAGCAAAGCGAAGAATGCATCCTTCTCATGCGGCTGGAGATTTGAGAAGACCATGCTGCTGATATGCGGATCCGATGGATGGGAGCTCTGGACAACAAATATTGTCAAGCCATGAGGTTCGGCCAGACGTGCTATGCGACAGGTGTCGCCAAGTCATCGGAGACGCGTCGAGGGAGTGGTGATTGTATATATATATCAATATCTCTCCGTTTATTCAAGAACGAAACCCAGATGGGGCACTGGGCAACTGCTGGCAGATCCGACCTCTCTCGCATATCCCTCGCACCGCGCACGTAGTACGACCGGTCAGCCTACCAGCTGGTAATAATGTTCCCCTCGTGAGGCAGAGTTAACTTGAACGTTACTGTGAACAAACAAGCACTATTGTTGCAGCAAATTGATACATATCGCTTTCGTATACTCGAATCTCATGAAAGCTCGGTCATTCGTATGAAAGAATTATCTGCATCATCAGGAGGAGGCTGCGGCCATCCAATTATCCCAGCCGGAGACGTTGAGCAACTCGCGAGGTACTGAGAGACACGTGGCGCAAGATTAGGCGCTCAGCGACGGGTGAGTTAAGCGCCAATTGATTCCGAAGCAAATCAATGGTGCCTTACGACATTGTCTGAGTAGAGAGACATTTGTCGTCCATTGGTCTTGCATTGGCTGAGATCAATATGGAGCGTGGTACATAACAACCATGAGCTCATATGATGCAGGGCGTCTGCGGGTGCATCGCAACGCGAATTTGGAAGGATAGGTTTATGGTAACTACACCGTCTGAAATCGAGCCTGCGCCGCAATCTTCCCTTCTAGGCTCATGTCTCCTCTCGGAGCTCTTACGCGATAGCCAGCAGTGACTCAGACAACCCTCATTGATGAGCCCAACGTAGGTATACCTATGATCTAATCACTCTGTCTCGCTGACAGTGCGACAACTGGTGCAGAATAACCGCGACGACGGAGTCTACGAAGAGGATTCCGCGACCCTTCTATAATTTCCTGCTCGTCGACTATCCTCCATGTGGAGATCAAGACTTGAGCTGCTACCGCGAAGCCGCTGCATTTCGTTGAACAGTCACTGAACGGCCATTTATCGCACACAACGGCAGCAATACCTGGACGGGATGGAGCTTCCGCATCTCGTCGAATGTATCATAAAGCGCGTTAGAAGGTGTCAATGCAGACATACACTCCTCTCCACGAGTCGTTTGGAGGATTCGCTCTTCCTAAGTTACCATCCCCTTCCGTTTCATTCGCCATGCGATGCCATGGAATTTTCTATGCAAAATCGCATCCTCCGATTGCAAGCTGATTCAGCTAATCGAGTGCTCGCTTAAGTACCTGCAATTGTCGAGTTCTGACCGGTCACCTGCTTCGGCTATGTGTACGCGGCATCTCAGGCGATTTGCGCTCCGTTGCACCCTTCGCACTAGGCCCCCTTCATCCTTCATCAGGAAGAGTCAACCGTCGATGCGCCGCATGCGATTGACCTGATCCTACCGGTCCATGGCAAGGACCTGCATGATTGAAAACTCGCGCTTTGAATCCGAACGGTGAGTTGTATGCTACAACACGCCTTCATGCATTGTGACATAACTAGCGGGACAATACTACAGACAGGCCGCACCCCGACTCCCCTGATACCTACGGCTCGCGGCGCGAGAATTTTGACGTATCCCGGGACCTCAGAATGTATATAAGGAGAAATCCTCATTCTCCTACCGCTGTTTCGCGTGCCTGTCATCCAAATAGCATTGCACTTGTACACATGCAGGGAATATGCTTGACGGAGCAGGCGGAGATGCCACTTTTGTTGGCCAGCATGGACACATGAAACACGAACTAGCGACGCCGTCTGATTACCTCCTTCGCCAGCCAGTGCCGGGTAGCTCAGGCTTTTCTGCTAACTATCACTCCACAGTGTGAAATAGGCGCGGAAGGCGGGACTGGATCCGGTGCATTCGTGTAGTAGTTGCCATAGCAAATTACCGACATACAACAGTTAGGTATACGTATCAATAACACCGCGATAGCAATCATCCTCCCTACGGTACAGATATTATATCGGAACGACTGCCAGACCAAAGCAAGCAAGAGGAATTCCAGAACCGAAGGCAAAGAAACACTTGTACAGTATGCGAGGCCGTCAGCACCGTCAGCAGAAGCAGCCGACAAATATCTTGAGTGAAGGAAGAGCAAAGAGTCACAACAGTCTATGGTGAGGCTATTGCCCCCAGTTAAAAAGATCAAAGTCATTCAGGCCCGCCTGATCGGTCTGAGGACTGTTTTGGGACATCTGATGCGGGACAGGAGTCGCGGACGCCTGACGGGGCGTCATGGAGGCATCAGAATGATGTTGACTTGCTGATGGCGACGGGGTGAACCCGAACTGCCCGCCGCCCACGTTTTGTTGCCATTGATTCTGAGCGCCAACCTGTGACGCAGGAGGCATACCACCTTGCATACCACCCTGCATGCCGCCTTGCATTCCGCCAAATCCTCCATGCATCGGATTCGCGCTGTTCGGCGGTGACATCCCGTATCCCTGACCATGGCCCATCTGTGCCATCTGCGCCATCTGCGACTGATTTGCCTGATTCCAGTTCATCTGCGGGAAGCTCGGGTTCTGTTGCATCTGTGGTGTCATGCCACGCTGCTGTGCCTGTTGCTGCATCATCATGGCACGTTGGATGTCTTCCGACGAATGGCCCGATATCCTTTGTTGCACGCCCGGCGACGGGGCACTATCTGAGGGCGTACGCGTACTCCTAGCAATTCCAGGCACGGTAGGATTTGATCGAAGCGCCGGAATGTGATTGTTATCCAGCCCCCCCATGCCGCCCATCCCACCGCCCATCTGCATTCCCGGATTGGTCATGCCCAGCTGTGCATGTGCCATCCGCTGCTCCTGCCTCATCCACTGCTCTTGCTGTGCTGCAGCCATCATCTGAGGATTCATCATCGGATTCTGCTGGTTCCCGCCCTGAGCATTCCGCAGCATCTGCTGCTGGAGAAGGATGAGCTGCCGCTGGTGAGCCATCGCCGCTTGCTGCTGCGAAAGCCTCTGATCCATCCCTGCATTCGGCACATTCTTCGAGAAGGGGAAGCTGCCCATCTGATTCTGGCCTTGCATGGTGTTCTGCTGCGAGATCGGAGACACCCTCGTCGGACTACGACTTTGACCAGGTAGCTGAGCAGATGACATTCCGACACCCATCCCGCCTCCTTGGAAGGATTGCATGCCCATTTGCATACCAGACGCCATACCAGGCTGCATACCTGGTTGCATACCCGGCGACATACCGGACTGCATACCAGACTGCATGAATCCCTGCGCCGAGCTGCCGGCTTGCGATTGCGACGCCGTCCGTTGCCGCTGCTGAAGCAAGTTCTAAAAGAAGTACCCGTGAGCGCGTCATTCATCCGATATTTCAGCGAAAGTTAAATACTGACCTGAGCTCGCTGCATGTGTTGGAACTGCTGCTGTAGCGGCAACGTCGTAAAGCCAGGGACCTGCTGTATGAGATACTGGACGAGCGGATGGCCCGGATTCTGCAAAATGTGGAGGAGCTGCGTCGCATTATGCCCCATGTTTCCTAAGCCACCCATCTGAGCTTGATTGAGCTGCCCAGGCATGGACGATGGCCCCGCGACGTTGTGCATACCCATGTTCGAGGTCTGCGAGACGTTTGGAGGAGACATCTGGCGATTTGCTTCCGCAAATTGTTGCTGCTGCTGCAGAGCCTGTCGCATTTGCATCTGCCTCATACGAGATGCGGCAATCTGGGCTTCGTTCATCCCGCCCATCAGCGTAGGAGGTACGGGAGGAAGGGGCATGGCGGGACTGTTCATTCGAGGGACCGGAGTACCGTGCATGGATATTGATGCAGGCGGGCTCGCAGCGGTAGGCATGATGCCTGTCATAGCCTGGGGTGTGACAGGAGCAGAGAGAGAAGGTGCAGGGGCGATCGGCGTCGGCATCTTGGTCTCGCCGATGTCTTGTCGCTTGTTGGCAAGGTCTGGCATGATCTCCTCCGGCCGCTCTCGCTTCAATTTCCCGCTGAGGTCGACCCGGCCGGCCACCGCGGCCGCGGCCTGCTGCTGCCTATAAGCATACTCCTTCGCGAAGACAACAGGCAAGTCGACGTAGATTTGCTGTATTCGGTCTACAGGTGTGAAGTCCACGGGCGGAGGAGGTTGCATGGCGGGAAGTGGGACCGACAATCGACTCTATATATCACGAACGCGAATTAGCTCAATGCGATGACGCTGAACGAGGAGATACGACCTTTGGTCCATCCGCAGCAGCAGCCAACCAGGCAAGGTTGGTCTGCAGACGCATTGAATATCTATGATGCAACGAATAATGAGAGCGAGCCGGCTTTTGAATGGCACATTACACGTACTCGTGACGCAGCTTCTCGTCTGCAGGATTATTGCGTGTTTGGAATGCCATCATAACACTACAAGACGGTAAGTTTGTGACGGACGATGTCTCACAATCAGTTGACGTACTTAAGCAGGTGCGCGTTCAATTCAAGGGTCATCACAACTTTGGGATCGTTTCCTGCGGCCAATGATGAGCCTGACGCGGAAGTCGTGAAGGAAGGCATGGTGTTAATAGATGTAGCATTGCTGTGTAATGGCTGGCCATCGGGCTGAGAGAACAGAGTGGAGATAGACGTTGGTGAAGCGTGTGCAGTGGACGACGAATGTGGATGAGAAGACCCAGGGAATGAAACGTTAGGAGGAATAGGGGTGTGGAGGTCGGCCAAGCCCTGGTGTGGAGACTGGGCTTTTGATGGAGCAACTCCAGAGTTGGCACCAGCTGGTGTTGGTGCTTGTTGGGTGCCCTCCTTGGGATGATCGGGCGCACACGCGCTCTCGGGCGATCCCTGGTCGCAGTCGGCTGGGGCGGGAACAGATGCGTCTCCATCTTTGATCTCGCCCTCCTGGACATCGTCATCAGGCGCGGAGGACAACTCGCTAAGTGGCGTAGATTGACGCGATGCCCTGTCCACATCGTCGGCAGACCCGCCCTTGTTCTCCTCCGGCTGGGCCTCCTTCCCTTCTGCATCCATGCGTACCGCGAAGGCATCTGCGGTCTCGGCGTCTGTCTGCGCACCAGGGGACGCAGCGTCGGGAGGCGGAGAGAGGGACGAGGAGCTGCCCTCGACGGGGGAGGAGGCATCAGCGGGGCTGGAGGGCTCGTGCTTGACGACGTCTCCGTCGGGACGGGTGATGGGACCTGGATGGGACTTGGGAGAGTCTTTGGATAGGTCAGAGGCTATGGAGGGCTTGGACTGGTTGTTCTGAGATTCGTGATAGTACGGGTTGTCATTACGGGTGGGCGCTGACCAAGACAAGAGGGAAGACTGATCAGCATGGGTGGGATCCGCCAGAATCAAATTGGACTTTGGATGACGAGCGATAGGAGAGGAGTGATTCCGATCGAGATGTATCATAGTAATCTCGAATCACCCGGATATAACGCGAACAGTGCAACCACGTCTGTGAAACGTCCCAGAACAAGCGGCCGATTCGTCCGTGGCCTCGACACCGTGATCAGCGAGTCGTCGGCGCGCGCAGCGGGTGCAGTAACGAGGACTATCGTTCAGCAGAAAGCAGCAAGCCCAATATGGCCGGTATGCCAGCAGCCGGGGAGGAGACTGAGTCGAGCGAGGCAGAGCTGCGCACGCGCCAGCGGCCGTGTGACTTTCCATCTCAGCAGCGCTCGCTGCCACGCCGCGATCACTACCCGCCGCAGTCTCCTCATCGTCGCGCTCGGCGGGGACGGCGGCACTCACCCTGCAGCGGCTCTCTCATGTGTGCTCGGCCATCCGAGCGACAGGCAGAGCCGGTTATTTCCAGAGCGTGGCACTCCAGAACTCTTTTACGCAGCGTGATCAATTTCATCGCCCCTTAGATCGCGGAATCTGTCGCCTTGCGCACTCGGGAGTCAGCCTGCACGCCAGCGATGACGGCCATGCTTCCGTGCGCAATGGAAGACATCGCGCGACCATCCTCGTCGATAAGAACCTTACTCGAGGTGGGAATCGAAGGGCCGCACGCTCGCGCGCCTGCTTCTTGCATCACGAATACATTCCAAGACGCCCCCTCTTTGTGCGTGACGCCAGGCAGCCAGCAGACAATGTGACCTTTCAGGCGCTGTATCAGAACGCCAGGTGCACCTACTTGGCGAGATTGAGGGCCAATGCATGCCCAGGACAAGACCATCGCGGCCGGTTCTCGTTCCCGCAGCAGATGCGCCTGTTGCAAGCGAGGTGAGTGACATGGGCATCCGCAGTTTGATGCACCAATTAAAGAGGCGGCTTTTGAGCAGCGCGAGCGCGTCATCACTTCACACAAGACATGCCGGCTGAGTATTATCTACTCCCAAGCTCAGGGGAAACGCCGCAAGGCACAGCGGTTGGAACGAGAATACCGTGCGAGCTTAAGTATATCCGCAAAGCACACAGCATGAAGGGGTACTGCGGTTAGCTTGCGAACTGTCTCATGCAATATGTAGATACACCAAGCCCAATGTGAATTCTCATCATCGTCGTATGATGTCTACTATGTCCACATGCTTGTTTCAAGTGGTCTGACAGTTAAAGTGACCACATTCGTGTCACAAACCAACAACTTGAGCAGCATCTTTGTTCTGGGCAGCGTAATTTAGTGTCCGATGTGCAGGAGAAAATATGATGCGCAGCTGTGGCCTCGGAACCTGCATTTCATATGTGAGGGGAACCGCATCAGAGATGCGATCGCCCGCCCCCTGGGCGCGAAGTTGCGCCCCGCCAGCGCCAAGGCTCTAAGGCTGCTCCGCCGCCCACGTGATCATCGCCGTCGGTGTCCAAACAAGGCCCAAACAGAAAATCCACCGACACCGTCATCCACGTCTCCGACCAGCAAGAACGTAAGTACGCTTCATCAAATCACTCTCTCAGGCCGTCCGGATGCTTCTTGAGATGTCCGGCGATCCCCTGCTGTGAAATAACGGTCGATTTTGGCTGGAAATTCGGCTGGATGTACTCGAATGCCTTTGGATGCACCTCCCTCTGCTTTCGCCTTGATCTTGCCTTGTCTCGTACCTGGAGCACTTGCTTATGCCTGGTTCACAGATTGAACAATGGGTAGGGTCATCCGGGCACAGAGGCGCTCTCATGCCATCGTATGTCTTCCCGCAGTGTTGTCTGAGACATTGACGAAACCGCCGATTCGCGACTGCAGTTCAAGGCGCACACTCACCACAACAAGGCGCCTGCCCAGTTCCGCCCGCTCGACTTCGCGGAACGCAATGGGTACGTCAAGGGTATTGTGAAGGAGATCATCCACGATGCTGGTCGGTGCGTGCATACAACCGCGTCTCGCTGCGTACCAGCAGGATTGATCTATGACGCAGTGGCGCTCCCCTTGCCCGAGTCGTTTTCCGTGATCCCTACCGGTACAAGCTCCGCAAGGAGACCTTCATCGCGACCGAGGGTTTGCACACCGGTGCCTTCGTCTACTGTGGCAAGAAGGCGCTTCTCGCTGTTGGCAACGTGCTTCCTGTGTCGCAGTGCCCTGAGGGTACGATTGTCTGCAACGTTGAGGAGAAGACCGGTGACCGTGGTGCGCTCGCACGGACGTCCGGCAACTACGCGACCGTTATTGGCCACTCGCCCGAGGACAACAAGACCCGGATCCGTCTGCCGAGTGGTGCGAAGAAGACCGTGCCAGGCGGTTGCAGGGCGACGATTGGTATCGTTGCTGGTGGTGGACGTATCGACAAGCCCCTGCTCAAGGCTGGTCGTGCGTACCACAAATACAAGGCCAAGCGTTACAAGTACGTGTCCTTTTCCTTGCACCGGCAAGCACGTAGTTCTGACGCCGATCCAGCTGGCCTCGTACTCGTGGTGTTGCTATGAACCCGGTTGACCACCCTCACGGTGGTGGTAATCATCAACATATCGGTAAGGCATCGACAATTGCCCGCTCCGCCGTACCCGGTCAGAAAGTCGGTCTCATTGCCGCCCGCCGAGTACGTGACATTTCGCCCTCATGCTGTCGTGCTGTTCTGATTGTACGCGACACAGACCGGTCTGCTGCGCGGTACCGTCAAGGTCAAGGAGGTGTAAGGGATGGTTGTCGTATTTGTCTCGCTATGTTTTTTGTATGCCGCTCTACCTCTGCACTCCGTTCCAAAACCTCTATGCAGCGATTCGCATATGCATCATGACCCATGCCGTGCCGACGAGAGTTTGAATGCAAGCGATCCTCAATCTAGGGTCAGTGAAGGAGGATGCTTGGAACGGAAGCTGATGTGGTGTCCTGAACGACGACTGTACTTTGATGTAAAAATCGAGATTTGAGGAGGATCTATGCTCGATTGGGCGGTGGAACTTTGCTGAGAAAGGGAATTCCCGACGTTTGCCCCAGGTCTGGGTTAGGATCAGGACACCTGCAGCTCGGAGTTGGCGGACCGTTCACTTCTTCGCCACTTCTCCCATACCATCTCTTCCTGAGCGGAGCCGATTTGTTCGTCGACTCGCCAGCGCACACCTTTCTTGCTTCTTGACACCCATCATGCCCACGAGCTACTACATCGGCGTCGACGTCGGCACAGGCTCTGTTCGCGCTGGTCTTGTCAAGCAGGATGGAACTCTCGTCGCGTCCAACACAGTGTCTACAATCACCTACCGCGATCAAGAGGATGCGAACATCTTTGAGCAATCGACAAACAATATCTGGGAGGGAATGTGCAAGGCCATCAGGACGTGCCTTGCAGAAGCCAAGGTCAAGCGATCGGACGTCAAGGGCGTCGGTTTCGACGCGACATGTTCGCTCGCAGTGACCGATATGAATGGCGACCCCGTTGTCGTCACCAAGAGCGATCAGCTTGGAGATAATGGCGATAGAAACATTATTCTGTGGGCGGACCATCGAGCGGAAGAAGAGGCGAATCTGATCAATAGTACCGGGTCGGTCGTACTAGACTACGTTGGCGGTACCATGAGCGTGAGTCCCAGTGAACCTTGTGTGGTCTGCAGGGTCTCACCCCACTCAGCTCGAGATGGAAATTCCCAAGACACTCTGGCTCAAGAAGCACATGTCGCCCGACAAGTTCGCGCGCTGCCAGTTCTTCGACCTCCCCGACTTCCTCACGTACCGCGCAACGGGCGACAACACGCGCTCGTGCTGCTCACTCACGTGCAAGTGCTCATTCGTGCCGACCAAGAACGGCTGGCAGGCCGAATTCTTCCAGAAGATCGGCCTCGGCGAGTTCGTTGAGAACGACTTTGTGCAGATTGGCAAGAAGGAGCGTGAAGTGCTCACTGCGGGTTTGCCTGTCGGCAAGGGGCTGTCGAAGAAGGCAGCGGCGGAGCTCGGCCTGGTTGAGGGCACTCCAGTCGGTAGCGGTGTGATTGATGCGTGAGCTGTTGAGCCGTTGCAAGTTGGGTGTTCGCTGATGCAAAGCAGCTATGCAGGGTGGCTGGGCACGGTGGCTGCGCGCTTCAAGGAAGATGGCAAGCTGTCGGACGTGCCTAATCTCGACGAGTCTAGACATCGTCTTGCTGCATGTGCTGGCACCAGCACATGTCATATCGTACAAGTATGTCTGGTGGCCCCTTGCGTCAAGTCATTTCCTAAGTAAGTTTTCCAGAGTCCGGAAGGCATTTTTGTGAACGGCGTGTGGGGTCCGTACAAGGTGCGCCTCAACTTTACGTATCGAGGGTGAATCTGAATGTCTATTTCTAGAATGCTGTCTTCCCTGGATGGTGGATGAATGAAGGCGGGCAGTCCTCGACCGGCCAGGTGCGTCTCCCGCACCTCAGACTGCGGAGAGACAATGCGCTTACGAAGGGCCGTAGCTCATTGATTTCATGATCACAACGCACCCTGCGTACCCCAGGCTGAAGCAGATCGCGGAGGAGCAGAAGACGAACATTCACGAAGGTATGCGCGGATAACTATGTTGTACGATACGCGCTGACGTCTATGAGCAGTGCTACAGAACGAGCTGAACAAACTCTGCGAAGAGAATGGTGTGGAAACGTGGACAGAGCTGACGAAGGACATGCACTTCTACCCTGACCTGCACGGGAACCGTTCGCCGATTGCAGATCCACGCATGCGCGGCATGCTTATGGGGCTCGCTCTCGTACGTCCTCTCTCTTCCATTTGATCTTGTCCGCTAACAGCTTGGCATCTGCCAGGATGACGGCCTCGGTGATCTTGCGCGCAAGTTCAACCTCACGCTTGAAGCGATCGCGCTGCAGACGCGACACATCGTTGATGAGATGAATGCCAAGGGGCACGCGATCACCGCGATCTACATGTCCGGCGGGCAGGCAAAGAACCTGATGCTGATGCGCCTGTTCGCGAACACGTGCAGCATGCCCGTCGTGCTCCCGCAGAGCAGCGGCGCCGCGGTCGTTCTTGGGGCAGCGATGCTTGGCCGCTTCGCGGCGGAGGCGGGCAAGCGAGAACGCATGACGGAGAAGGAGCAGTGCGAGGCGCTGTGGAACATCATGGTGAGCAGCGTTGACTGTTACGTGTTTAATGGCGAGGGAAGACTGAGTCGTGTGGCATAGATTGAGATGACACCGCCTGGGACGATGATTGCCCCGTCAGCGAGCGCGAGGGAGAAGAAGCTGCTGCTCGCGAAGTACAAGATCTTCCGCGAATCAATTGATATCCAGAAACGGTGGCGGAAGGAGATGGAGGATGCCTCCCGATGAACCCTTCATGCCCGCAGAGATGCCGCAGGAACGGCATGGACTCAATGAATGTTGTAATACCACAGCTGTGTAAATAGACTCCGCCGATGAGTAGAAGGGTGTGTTACCTTGGCATGAGAAGAGGGAGATGGACCTTGTGAGATTGGTGGCTCGCGTTCCTCCGTTCAGTATTGCTTTCTCGTTGTATATAATAGAGCGAGCGGCAGGCTCATCGATGAACCTCTGTAAGAGGAACACAGACGTCGTCCTTTCATAACCCTGTACGATGTTTGAGCATCGGTATTGCCCAAGCAGCTTCCGAAGTCGACCGTATGTTCGACGCAACAGCTGCAGCAGGTCGAACTTGCTATAGAATCCCGATTGACTACGGGCCATACCTTATATTGAATACAGGAGTACGATTACACCAATCATTCGTTCAAATCGCGGAGACAGGTCTAAGCCAGGGGTAGAGACTTGCATATAGATATGAATTTTATGGTCATCAGGAGCCCGTAGTGGTCGCTCACCTGCTGCCGTTGAGATGCCTTCAAACCAACGCCAACCAGCTCAGGTTCCTCGATAAGCACAGGAGCATCTGCCATGTACTAGGGAATCTTGTCCATCCTCCTCCGAGGAAGTCCTTATAGAGGTTGGTATTCTCATGTAATCCCGTCCTTCCCAGAGAGCCAGGGAACGTATCCGCCAATCCTACGAAGTCGTGAATGCCGGTATCGAGCGGGATTAACGCGTTCACGTCCCCGAACTAACGTTCGCAAGGACGTGCGGCCCCTCAGCAGCGCGTCCATCGAAACCAGCTGCGGCAGTCGCGTGGTCATGTTCTCGAACACCGACTCGAGGTGAACGTTGCTCACGCGGGATACGGGCTGCCAGGGTCGTCCGCCGGCATGCTGCACGTCAACGAGCAACGCGTCCCTGTCCCTGTCCCTGTCCGAGTTTGCGAAGACGAGCGAATGCTCGGCGAGCAGGGGCACGCTCCGCGCGACGAACGTGGCCACGCCATATCGCAGGTCGGGCCAATTTTCTGGCCATTAGGAATGGGACAAGTCCCAGCCGAAAATAGACCATCGGTCTTGAAAGCAGTCCCTACGACATCAGAGAATATGAAACGGGCCGCGTTTGTGGCAGCCAACGAGTCGTGAAGCGACACGCAGTGATGCCGCTGCTAAAAGTCAAAGATACATGGAGAGAGACTTTTTTCGCGCGAACCTAGGCAGCTCTCACTGAGTCTACGACCGAGACTATCCAGCCGAACATGACACTGACCTCTACGGGCAAGTATAAGGATGCACCCGTGGATTTTGCCGCACCTTGAAAAGGGACGTTGACCGTTTCGTTGAGGACATAGTCGGGGAAGCACCACGGCGATAGAGAATAGAAGCCAGCAGTACGGAAACGATTTGCAATACTCTCGGAGAAGCCGGACGTGTGTTCTGTCCCAGAAGACAAATTAATACTTTCCTATATGCATATTGTATCAAGTGTCTGAGGAGCCTCAGTGTGACGTTTCTATGAAGTCAGTCGTGGCTTCCTTTGTATGACTTTGACCTGCTTTGTTACCTTGTCAGCATTGATAACTTGCAATAGGTAGAGATATTTCCTCGAACAGGGACTCGGGACTCGGGAGACTGCGAAACAGTAGGAACAGCACTGTTCATGGCAGCATGCGGTCGAGGTGAGTGAAGAGTAGCAATCCCGAACACGGCAGAAGTATGTCAGTAGGCAAGTATTTCGCTCACCCTCCTGATTTGATTGGAACACAGAGACCGAGGAACAGACGCATTGGCGAGTTGTGGGACCAGATAGCAAGGCATCTGTGACACCTCATGCCTGTGGGGTGGCAAGCCCAAACGACGGAGAGAACGTTTGTCGGGCCAGTCTACATGTATATGACGTACACCTCCGTATAGAATTGTTCGACCCAATTTTGGAGGTACTTTGCCGCATCACAGAGCGGGGCTGCACAATCCGACGCTCATACACATACACGGCAGCACAGGGTCCCTGAAAAGTCCACGTCGCATGGCCGTTGTACGGAATCCTACTCGGGCTCGACTACAAGCTGAGGGCAGGAATCAATGAGAAGCGTGTCTCAAAGTCAAGAGAAGTTAGCTTACAAGAATTCAAGTCGCGTGGCGCGTGTGGGTGATTATGCGGTTCCGCAATGACTTCACAATGAATTTGCCTTGATGATGTCTTTGAGCCGAACCGTCGTTATGAGGCCATAATGGTCACTGACCCACTGCCCTCGCTTTGTCTTTAAACCAACGCCGACTCTCTGGGGATCCTCTATCCATATAGGAGTGTTGGCAGTATAGAATATCTTGTCCAATCTGGAACGTTTTGATCGCCGTTCAGACTGATATCCCCATGTGTGACCCAGTACGTCATCTTCTCCACCCTCGTACGCATCCTCCAGTCCTGCAAGACGATGGATGTCAGCGTCGCTCGGGCTGATCGAGTTCATGTCTCCCGCCAAAATCCCAGCAACGACGCTCGGATTCCTCAACAATCTCCCTGCAGCTTCGAGCTGCGCTGGCCGCTTACTGCTACCCTGAGACATTGACTCCAGGTGCAGGTTGCCTATGCGCAAGACAGCAGGAGCCGATGTCTCGTGGGCAGAGCCACCGTATTCTGCTCGTGTGTCGGAGCGTCCAACCAGCACGTCCACGAGCAGTGCAGTCCTACCCGTTATAGAATTCCCGAATTCCAGGGATTGCGCGTCGAGTAAAGGCACGCTGTGTGAGACGAGCGTGACCGTCCCATACTTCGAACTGGGCCAGTCTTCCGGATGACCAGGGATGATGAAGAAGTGCTCACGAATCCATTTATATGAGAGCAATGCAGAGAACATTTTGACGCTGATCTCTTGTAGGAGAATGCAGCACGGAAAAGGTGTGGGCGTGCCCACAGGAATCTCAGTGGTGGAATCCGGGGGTATTGAAAGGTGCCTGGATATATGTGCGAGCGCGCAGCTCAGCCGCTCTTCGGCATTTGGTTGAAAAAAGTTGACGTTCCACGTAAGAAGTCGGAGAGAGGTGGGAGCATTTAAGGATTCCATGGACGACCCATGATCTTCCCTAGCAGGTTGCCATCCACTCTGTTTGAAGTAGCGTGATGCCTGTTTAAAGTAGTATGGTGCCACTGGCCAGATACGGTCTGTCGGTCTCTTCAATGGGGCTTGCCGTGTGCGATCTATGGTTGTTTGAATCGACGGAGCCCTTTTTGAGGCGAGCCATTTAAGAAGCCTATCGACCCTGGTCAATTTCATTGCAAAAGCGAGATTGGCTGCGGATGGGCTAGGGCGAGCTTCAGAGGGGGTTAGATATCTAAGAGAATGATGGTAATGCCAGCATGACGGCTCGTTTTAAAACCGCAAGAAGCGTTCGTCACACGTGTTGCTTGTGCCGTGTTATCTTCTGTGGGCGTAAGGAAGGCAATTAAGCGTTGATGTGGGAACTCAGGATCCACGATATACTCGGCTGTAGCTCAGTACGTACGGGCCATAACGTATATGTCATGATTCGGCTCACGATACAGTGAGGTTCCGAATAACCTTGTCTGGCAACTCAAGGTGTTGTAGTCACAAGGTGCGCCAAGTTCGCCATGGAATAGCTACACATCAATAAAATTCAGCCCGAGAAGAACACATTCGGATGATAGCCTCGCCCTAATTGCCAGAGGCAAACGTCGGGAACATTGCAACGATGAAGGTCACAGAACAGGAGCGCCAGCTGATGGGAGTCCAGACCGACATGCCGCAGACACGCGCCCTTGGCTGGCGCGATTATAGTACACACACTTCCATTCTGAAAGGGTTACTCATCGACAACAGGCCTGCGAGAAAAACCTCGGTATAACTGCTGCATTATCGATTGCTTAGACAGGCTCTAATTGAGCGGAGTACATAGTCCTTGAAGCATATGGTACGTAAGAGGTCATTTTTGTCCATTGTAGTAGCCCGAAAAACGACAGACCGTTGCGCAGTCGATTCTGTATGACCAAGGGCAGGGGCCTTACAAAGGCAGTCGTGCCAGCACAAATCACACCAATGGTTAACAGAGTGCATTACCGAATGCAACACCCGAGGCGCTATCAGACCTTGCCCACCAACTTCTCCTCTGCCACTCCAATCACCGTTGCCACACGTCGCCGGCGATGATCGCACAATTGTATCTTGCTTGAGGGTACGGCCGGTAAACACGCGACGATCTGGAGCTATATCGCTCGATGCTCGCGTCAACCACTGGCTGAGGCTCCAACGAAGTCGAACGGCGTCCTCTGAGAATTGCAATCTTGGGCGATGCAACGACAGGTATGGTATATTGCGTTTGACACGACGGGCACAGACTGAAAGCCATCGGAGGGTCATAAACTGGGGTAAGCTGTGTCGATGGCGTGCGCATCGTAATCTGCTCTATGCGCGGAGGAGTGAGCGGGGTAGGTGGAGGGGTAATTAGAGATGTCTGAGCCAACAGCATTACAGGCCTGCGGACGCAGAGCTCCATGAGGGGATCATAATGAGCATAGAGCTCTTCGCTCGACGGACAGAGGTCGTAGTCGATGAGCGTGAGGAAGTCGCGCTCCAATGCGCTGAGCTCATGTCGCTTGAAACTGCCGGCAACGTACACTCCGAAATATGTCGCGAATGGCGTATCGTTGATATACTGACCAATTGAGTCAGTTAGGCCTTCATGACGCGGTTTCTCCAACATACCTTGTGGGCGAGCATCAGCGCACCAATAAACATCCTCTCACACTGCCATCGTCGTGCCTTGATGACAGACCTCACCAATGCCCTCTTGACATAGGAAAGGGCGACGAGCACCACCGCCGTCGAAACTTCGGCATCCTCAAGGATGCGTCGGAGCAGGGTATTTAAGAGGGCAGTGTTGTGTGCATGGTGGCAAGCGGTCTTAAGGGCATCATGGCAGACAACGTCCATGATGTAGTCTACGGCATGTGCTGACGAAAAGATGAGTCCAATATAACAGCAGATACACAAAGGTACTTTACCGGCTAAACGGTCGACGGGTACCGAGGCAAGGCTTTCGATCTCTGGGTCGTGGGCAGACGACTCCCAGCGGAATGCGTCGAAACCACCCATTCTGACGAATACGATGAAGTCAACGATTATTTAGTGAATGCGGAGAACTCGCAAGACTGTGGCCTAGCGAGAACGGCAGGCCTCCTTATATACTTCGGGCCAAGGATGAGCGCATCACGTTGTCTGTCCTGGGTCTATACTGAAACGTTACATATCCGAGCAGCTATATCCGAAAATAGCGAGGACGACGGGAACGCACTCACTTCGTATCCGCGCCGATGCCTCATGAGGGGCGTCTAACCACCTGCAGGCTGAAGGATGCCGGATACAAGATCAATAACCAACGATCGCCTGCGGCAAGCACCTCCTTTCTCGCTATGTAAATGACATGCGCATCGTGGGGTCCGAAGGAGGAACAACAGGCTAAAGGCCCTAACATTGCCAAAAGTTGGATCCGCAGGGAGGAATCAAAACAGGTGTCCGATCCGTTCGCAGTGGTTCCGCCGATCTGGACGAGATACACGTCAGTCACATCGCCCACAAACAGCCTCACCGCGCATTGAAAAGGAGCACATTTGGGTTATTGTATACCCGAGACCAAGAATGCAGATATCTTGTCGTGTCATCACAGGAGATTCAGATGTGAATGATGCGGGCATGGCATGGCATGGCATGTTTTATTGGCAATGAGGATACATATGCGGCCTGGGCGAGCATGCGAAATAGCGAGTATAGCAGAAGTAGACGAAAGCACGAGATCAATCCGAGCCACCACCCGTTGCCCGTGCTGCAAAACGCATGAGCCATAGCACCGAGACCGATCCGTAAAATACACACTGTAGATCAACTGGCCGCTGTGGTGCACAATCCGCTTGATCAGGCCCTCCTTCTCGAGATGCGCGATGGCTACCCGCGCCAAGCTCCCATTGATTTTTAGCCGCTCGATGAGGATGCTTTGGCTAATGAATCGGAAGGTGGGGACCTCCTTCATGATGCGGTCGAAAGTGGGCTTGTCAAGGATGACGGCATGCTGCGCCTTGTCCTTGACCTTTCCCTTGGACCACTTCTTCTTCTTCGCGGCTTTGCCGCCGCTGGACGACGTGGGAGCTCCCTTAGCTTTAGCCTGAAAAGGCGTCGGATCAGTATCCAGTTGAAAGTGTTATCCGAGCGATATCCGTCGCATCCAGCATTGACAGCGACGAAACTGCAGCATCTAGCCACGTCAATGGGTTCTGCAACGGGAATTCTGCTCTTCTGTCAAGAACTATAAACTTACCATTGTCTTGATGGCCTCTCGTAGCTGCTGTGATCGCTGAGGGCCTACCGGTGTCCAGCTATGGAGAACCGGAGGACGCCGAGCGGTGTTTGAACATGGGCGTTTGTACATGTGGCAGAAGCAGTGGCCCAAAGTGGCCCTATGCCCTATGGCAGCCAGGAGGGTGAAAGGCGCACTTCGATGAACTCAAAGCCAGCATACCGTGTTCGCTGTCACTCAAAGCCTCGAAGTGGAATTGCGTAGAATGTAGGTATCAATTTCATCCATCCATATGTGAGCATAAGTATATCCAATCCAAGTTCCTAAATCCAGAAAGGTATCATAGAAATGAGCTGGAATGTCCGGATCCCGTGCAATAATACAAAAAGGTCTTCCATCGTCCCCCAAATCTGCTGAGCAGGGAGACGAATATCCATCGCAATCGTCATGAGACGGTATAATGATACCGACACGCTTAGCGCATTAACTGGCCTTTGGAGAGCCGTACGCGTCCGAGACCTCAGGTCGGACTCTGGTTCTCCTTGGTCTTGTGGGCGGGATGTACATGTTGAGGACATCGCCTTGTTGTCGACGGTACTCCCACTCGCCGCCGTCATTTTTGTCTGTGGACGCTTGCCCTCGGTGGCTATGCCGCAGTGGAGATGCCCGCTCGATTTCTGCGGCATCAAGACCATGCCGTCCTGTGCGTTTCCGATCATCGTGCTGCCGACTTTCTGCACCAGTACTCGTTGAGCTATATTGCCTGGATGCCGCTGGAGATGTGACCCTTGACAACATACGGTCAGCATGAGCGGTCATGATGAGAAGGACGTATTTCAACCTGTCCCAGTATACATGCGGCTCTACAGGGCTGCAGTCTGGACCATCGCCAGAAAGGCCTGTCAGAGACTTTCTTTGCTCTTCTATCTCCGGGGGGTATTGTTCGTCCTTCGTATACTTCTCGTAGAGTTGCTTCTTGTCCTTGGGTGACAGACGGTCCCAAACTGCATTCTTCATTCCGCGGGGACCATGCTCGAATTCAAACATCGGAAGAGATTTCATACTCGCGGTCTTCAATGGCAAGTTTAATGAGCTTGTGGAGCGATAATTAGACATTGAGGAGGAAGGTGGCGGGGACAGTTGTCTGGAGGATGCTGCATCGGCAAACACGACATGGCCGGGCGGTGTCGTTTTACTCGATTTGAAAGTGGGGCGCATAGGCTGTCCCTGAGCAGACTCATCCAGAGATAGTCCACGCGGACGCACCGCTTCGGTCGTCCTTGAAAGCTCTAAGGAGGGACTGAGACGGTCCCGGCCATCTAGCTGTGGCGTGAACGGGACGCTGATGTCATCAGTTTTGATCGAGCGTTTGTGTGAGCGTGAACTCGCACGACGTTGAAGCCCGCCTTTGGATTTCTCAGACCGAGGATGGTCGCGCTCTTCAGAAGGACCAGAGACAGAGCTGAAGAAGAGCCGTTTTAGTCAGCCAATGTTGGGCAGAAAAAATGGAGAGGAGAGTACAGACCTCGCCCTTGATCGTGATGTCTTCTTCAATAGATTCATTCGCTGAAGCGTGTGGGAGTTGTCGATCTCTTTGGAGAACTCTAAAGTGGCAGCAGTGTCTTCGAAGGTGTGCACGATGCTACGCCACAGACACGAGGGAGAGCGGTTGTGTGATGATGCAGCGGAGCACTGCATGACGGCTATTTCTACTGACAGATACCCACCGTAGCTGTGGCTGCAGCCCAGGGTTGCGGCCCCGATGTGTGGCCTCGATGCAAGCAACAAGGCGTTTCCAGGTTAGCGAGATGTCCGCTTGGGCCTTGTGGTCTTTATTGCCACCGCAGGGTGGCGCTGAATACCTATTCAGGAACGGGCCGCAATCAACCTCCTGATGCAGTGGCCGACACCACCACAGTTGCTCCTGTGCAGATGCGGCCCAAGACAATTGTGCGTTGTGTCTTTTTCGGCTCGGAGCATCACGATAGGTGGATATCAGAGAATGCGCGGGAGTAAGGGTGTCACGGAGTCAACAAAACGATATCATCGATATAAGCAGATGATTGAAACGTCTGAGGGTGGCTCGCTGGCTTGCAGGTAACGGTGGGAGGAGGAGGTGAACTTACTCGCCTGCCAAAAGTGGCTGATCGGAGGCACTTAGGCCAGTTTCATGGGACGATTGATCGGGTCACGTCACGAGATAACAAAGAGTAGCTAACCTGCAGGCAGCGCGTCCCGCCTTCCACGTCGACGTCGCGTCCGCCACTCATGATTCCGTGGCTTTTGCTTGCGCTCCCTGCATCCGCGCTCGCTGGTCTCGAGAAGACATACGGAGTCCTTCCTTCTCTCCTTGCTCGCTATGAATCGCCCGGTTTGGGCTCCGCGCCGTGGACTTGCCTTGATGGCTCGAAGACGATAACATGGGCGGCCGTGAACGATGACTACTGCCATTGTCCGGACGGGAGCGACGAGCCCGGTTAGCGACTACACGTTTGGAAACGTGGCTGGGTGGCTGAGTCGATGTTCGCAGGTACCGGTGCATGTCCAGACACTGTATTCTACTGCAAAAATGAGGGCCATATTGGTTCAGTTATACCCAGTTCACGAGTAAGAGACGGACTGTGCGGTGGGTCATTGAACGTGTCTGTCCCATACCATAACTTGACACGCTTTCATATCTAAGAGCCGGAATGCTGCGATGGTTCGGATGAACGACCTGGCGTATGTCCTAACACCTGCAAGGAAGTCGGTGAAGCTTGGCGGAAGCAACAAGCAGCGGAACGTAAAGTTCGTAAGACGGTGAGAGCAATGTTTCAAATCTGGTTTGAGCGAGCGTGACACCCCGTGTCACCCAGGGCTCAAAGATTCGTTCATTGTATGTAGCGTATGCCAAGAAAGAGAAGAAGCGACTTGAAGGGGAGATTGCATCCGCCGAACAACAGATTGCTGTTCGTGAGGAAGAGGTCGCGAGGTTGAAGGGTGAGCACAGGCCTCTTGCTGCCACAAGCTTTTATTGAAGCCATCCATAGACCTGCTAGATCGGTCAGAATCGCTTTCTGCTGCTGCTCTCGAGCACAAGAAGGAATCTCGTGAGTGAGATAACACCATTGTCATCGCAACGCAAGGTCTGCGCTCACGGGTCTGATAATCCAGCATTGTACATATCGCTTATGGAACATGTCCGCGCACTGAAATCTCTACAACGGGAACATAAGAAGCATATCGAGCGTGAGAAGGCCCTCGGAGACATTCTCGATGCCTTACGGGTGGGATATAATCCCAACTACCAAGACATGGCAGTTTTGGAAGCGGTTCGCGGCTGGGAAGCTCTCGCAGGGCTCCCTCACATCAATGACGTGCGGAAAGAGGACGGGACGACTGACGGACAAAGCCAAGTCGTATCAGAGCAGCAGATGGACGAGGTTGAAGAGGGGATGTGGACTGCAGAGCGGCTTGATAAGGAGTTGGATAGCCTGCTCAAGACTGATTACGAGAGTCTGTTGCTCGAGCACGAGAAGCATATCGGCACGTCGTCTCATTCCGTTCGTAAGTCGACACCTCTGCAATCGTCAGACACTTTTAATCTATTCTGTCAGTGTATAATCTTTCTGCATATATCCCCGATGCCATCCTCCCTCAGTACGAAGCTGTCAGGAACACGCTGGTATCGTGGCTCGAGCTGATTGGAATCGCTCGTGGCATTACAACATCTGGTGAAGCGCCAGGTTTGGCTCTTCCTTCTTGCTTGATAACCGACTCTGACATATGCGCGGCAGAAACCTCCAAGGCGCGAAAAACGTTCAATGATGCGGAACGTGACTTGAAGTCTGCTCAGAAGGATCTGGACAAGACCAAAGAAGAACTGGCTCACCTGTTCGATCCGCAATGGTTCGGCCGTGAAGGCGAGTGGAAAAAGTTGAAAGGCATGTGCCTGGACAAAGAATTTGGAGAGTACGTCTATAGCCACGCAGTTTGTATCCATGTGCGGCTTGCTGATGCGCTTCGTGTGGACCAGTTACACTTACGAGCTATGTCTTTTTGAGAATGCGAAACAGAAACCGAACAAGGGTGGCGCTTCGCAGAACCTTGGGTGAGCACTGCAGTCTATCGTGCGGGAACACAGCTAATCCGCGTGAAACATAGCAAATTCTCCTCCTGGAACGATGCCCCGGGAGTCACGCCAGGCTCGCCTGAGTACTACAGCAAGCAAAAGTACACGGGCGGCTCGAAGTGCTGGAACGGACCGAACCGTAGCGTAACGGTGAGTAACACATGCTCGACCTGCAGTCTGAGGTGCGCATCCGCTCATGAGAGTCTGCCTTACGCAGGTATTGCTGAGCTGTGGGACGGAGAACGAGATCCTCTCGGTGGCGGAGCCGGAAAAGTGCGAGTACCAGTTGACGATGACGACCCCGGCGCTTTGCCTGCCTCTGGAGGCGTCGGAGGAGACTAGGATTGGGGATGAGCTGTAACCATTCTGATACGACGCTGTTATATTTATCTGGATTCTGGATTTTGGACATCTGTTTGCCGAGTCAGCTGTTTGGTGCAAGAGACAAGCATCGAAACTACGACGTTCGTATTTTGGTCTCTCCCGCAGGTTTACCTTTTATGTTGTGTGTATTTGTGAGGGGCTTTGGCTGCTTATGCCCTTAGCATACTGGCCTTGGATTGTCTCCTGTGGAATCAGCGAGGGCCATTAAGTGGGTCTTTACTTTTCAAACGTGGAGCGGCCACTCCTGATGGACATCTCTGACAGACTGCAAGTTTATGCCATCATTCCTTTCTATATAAGACTTCACTGACGAATGTGCTGTTCAATTTTTAGAGTTTGTTGAACAAGTTCAATTCACTGACACCAGGAATAACTGCATGCTGGGCATTTATGCTTACTGAATGGAGGATGTGGACCTTTTCATAATCACTCATCAAACTTGAACAGAGCACATACATAGCTAATCTCCTTGGAACCTTGCATTCATGAATATGCAAAGAGATGTGTACAAAACTTTTGCCCAGAGTAGACACTTGCTCAAGTGCATGATCTTGGCACTTGGGCCAATGAGTCAAATGGCCCATTAAAATCTGAAAATTGAACAGCCTTAGTTCCTATTACCCAATGGTGGTGCACAGGTGCTTTGTGAAGAAATGATGCATTACATATGATTTTACATTAATTCAGTCAAAATGTCTCATATGACAAAGTCTTGATGTCAAAGACACATATATTTCCATAAACTGTTTCCTGTTATCACTCAATGTCTTATTAGACTAGTTGAGATGGGCACAACATTTGAACTGTAATACTTATGTTGACAAATGACACTGTCTAATGTCATTGTGCTTACATCAGCAGCTTGATAAGGCAGGTTTAGGGCAGGCAGAATGTATGGGAAAATCTGTCCCAATATGGTAACACATCAAAGTCTGGTGCAAATAACAATAAATAGTTTCCAGCAGCCCATGCCCAGGTGTCACCCCACTTTCCTCATCCATCTATCCACACTCAGCCTGCATCCTCATTGTCATTGACTGCTACTAAGCCTTCATTAGGTTTGTCTTGTTTTCTCAGCTCTGACCTTGGCACTGTCTTATGCAAGAACTGTAAAACAGGAGACTAGCACTTGTAGGACTACACTGTATTTGACAGAAAACTCCAGCACTTGCTTTGTGAAAATTGATCAAGTAAGTGTGTTTTTGTTGGTTCAGGTTCTGCAACCATTATTAGTGAGATTATTGTTATGATGCTCATATGTTAAGTGCATAACTGCAGTCATGTGGATATTGGGCACATAGGATCATACAATGATCTGATTTGCTATTAGCATTAATTGTCTCATGGTGATCTGATTTTTTTCTGGGATCTAAATCTCAACCTCTGCATGCATTTGCACAATGTACCAGCACTGGACTCTGCTCTAGCATATGCTTCATCACATCAAGCCATCATAACACTGACAGATATATCCTCCGGCAGCTTCCATTGGCCCGCCTTACGGCAGAGAAGACTTCATTTCAATGCTGCAAACATACTATCCAAGAGGCAACAGCCACACACCAGACATTGGTGTCAATGCTGCTCAAGGTAAGTTTAGCCACCATGATGTCATGGATCAAGCTAACTCTAAAATACATTGACAGATACTTGGATTATGAACAGCCAACTTCTCCGGGGCAGTTATAGTCCATCACCGCTTCGCAGTCATGAGCTTTCGCAGATTACAGCTAGAAGAGAGCCAGCCACTCCAAAGCGACTTGCAGGAAAAGAGCAGCGAGAGGTGAACCCTCGCGACAGTCCGTCCTGGACAGTCCTGAATATAGCATCCTCGGGAACAGACACCGAACCCGAGGAGGATGAGCTGCGTATGGATGCGGACGACGCAGTCACGACCCTCATCGGGGTTCCGCCGTCGTTCTCCAAGTTTTCACAAACATCATTCGCTAATGCACGCCGGGAGTCGCACAGCTTGCAAGCCAGTCCGAGCATTCGGAAACCCGGGAGAAGCCGAGAGCGCACTGTGGCTTCGCAGAATCAAGGAAACAGTAACATGCCGACATGTCCCGCAAGAGGAGGTGTCTTTGACGGTGTCGTCGTCATCGATGCCCATACTTCGCATGCGCCAAGGACGGAACGTAGCCATGACTCACTCGACAAAGGCAACGCGCCAGCTTCCGGGCCTGCTCAGAAGCGCAATGAATCTCTCGATCTCGCATCCGCGCTCACCTCAGCCTTCGCCCACAACAGCACCGTCATTGCCGAATCTTCAAAATCCCCTCGCGCGTCCGAATCCTTAAATGGCCAAAAGGGCGTTCTCCTTGCCGAGCTTCGCGAGACCTCTTCTGTCACCGATAGCGCGGCCCTCCGGGAGCGAAATCTCGTCAAGGCCGCCAAAGCGGGCGATCAACTTGTGTCCCGGCATGTGCTAACCCTGGACGAGCTTTTGGAAACACGAGAAGCACCAATTGCCATCCTACGGGAATATGCACTACCGCATAGGCCAACGACAGAGTCCATGTGGTGTCAGACACGCTTTGTGCTGCATGAAGTCAAGGCTGCTGGAAAGTCTAAGCAGAGAAGCTCACGCAGGGCATACACGATGCCACGCTACTCTAAGTTAGCTAACTTCAAAGAGAAATTGGACTCACATCTTGGTCCCGGGGACTTGAACCGAGGCTTAACAAAAAGGCCGAGACCGGTGAGCATTCGTTTCGGGATTCTTCGAGCTGAGAGCATCCTGACGCAGGGCCAGCAGAAAGACGAGAGCGAGGCGAGTCATTCACTCCTGTCCGATACAAGCATCCCGACAGACTATGGTCGAGGTGTGAAGAGGACCAGAAGCATAGACATCGAGACTGCGGGGTCATCGACGGAGGTGTCTGAGATGCTTGCACCGGATGATGCCCACCAGAGCAAGAGACGTAGATTCCGTTACGAATCCGAGCAGCCAGGCACAGAATAGACTCGAAGCGGCGGCGGATTTGAATGCGGAGGAGAGGCATATCCGAACTCCGAGGTGAGTGATCCCGCAAGGGTCGATCGCCTTTATGACTGAAAGCTTGGGTAATTCGCACTAGCTCCACGATGGTACAGCTTATAGGAGTGGTCTTCACCGCTCAGCGGCCGTGCTCACTTGCGCTGCAACCCAGCATTTCTGCATGAGAGTGGACATTGTGACTATTACCCCATGTCCGATAAAACAATACAATACAGACGGCCTCATTTGGCCCCGTCTTGCAATTTGGGTGCAGCACATTTGACTGACGAAATCCGACAACAGCCTAACCGACATAGGCATCGGCGAGAGTCAACGGTACGGATCCGGTACGCGATCACAGCCGTAGCGGAAAAGCCGACGTGACCGCGAACGTGACATCGGCAGGCGTGACACAGCGCGGGCGTGACATTGACGAACCGATGAGGCGAGGCGCCTTGTGGCAACTTGGAGTCGTCGTTTTTCAGACATTGTATCCTCATCAGATCCTCCGTTCCAACCACAGCATTGCTTCACACTCGCATCATCGTCCACATTCTCTTTTTCATCGCCTGTCGCATGATGCTTGCTCTGGCCCCACCAATGCCGCATTCAACAACCGTCACGACCGTAGAACACCCACATCGCCCGCCGTCGTCTACGGCTAGCTCGTCCTCTCACTCTACGCGTCCTTCACAGCGAAAGCTGCACTCTGCCATTATCATTCCGAAACCCTCCTCGTCCTCTCACGTTCATGTGCAGACACCATCTGCCAGCAGGTCTGCGCCGCTGGAGGCCCGCTCGGCGCACCGTGCCTCGTCATACACCATGCCCCCGTCGCACGCTGCCCGTTCTCGCTCGCCTTCCATCAACCACCCGCACGACGAGGATGATGACCCAAACACACCGCCTGCGTCCGATTGTGAGACTAGCGAGTCCATACATCCAGAGCCCCCGATAAAGGACGTACATTCGTACGAGCCAGAGAAGCTGTTGCGGATGCTCGCTTCTGCCCTGAAACGGATAGCAGACATGAATGCTGGTTTGCCAACAGAGATCTACGCACCTTCCTCTACCCTGTCCCGTTCTCAATCTCACAAGGAGCACCACCCTCCTATATGGTGGACGTTGACGACTGCGTCTCGACAGTCCTTGTCAACCACGTCTTCTCTTGCCTTCCATGCGCGAAATGTCCCCACAATTGCCCTTGAGGGATATCTGAACCGGATACACAAGTATTGCCCAGCCAGCAATGAAGTGTTCGTGTCTCTGCTGGTGTATCTGGATCGGATGACGAGGTTGGCGAGAGAGGCGTGTGGGAAGACATTTCCTATTGACATGTACAACATCCATCGTCTCATCATTGCTGGAGTGACCGTGGCGAGCAAGTTTTTTAGTGATGTGTTCTATACTAACTCGCGATATGCGAAGGCGAGTATTCCATTGTTCGCTATATATGGATATTCAATGAGTCTAATCTATCCCTTTTCCCAGGTCGGCGGGTTGCCCCTCGCTGAGCTGAACCAGCTTGAGCTGCAATTCCTCCTTCTCAACGATTTCCGATTGACTATTTCCTGCGAGGAGATGGATTACTATATGCAAATGGTTGATCTGCAATCCAAGATTCCCGAGGGCATCGACCTCTCACAATATCTCCCGTCATCCTCCAAGATCGTCCCTCATCCCCCGGTGGGACCTACGGAGTTCTTCGCCGCCGTCGATGCATATTTTGGGCATCGCCACAATGTCATCCGGCCGACCTTCCTCGATCACCATCCCATCGAATCTAGCGATGCCACGCGTCCCAGCCTATCATCGCATCATAGCCCGTCTAGGAGGTTCTCCACTATGTCATACAGCTCCGATGCGACCAGCGAGGCCGGGACGGAGACCGATTTTGATGGCTCCACAGATGATGAGCCGACCATCCGCGCACCACACTCTTCCGCATCCTCGGAGACGATGAGCCTGCGCAGCGCCGCAAGTGATGCGGACTCCATATACACAGATGACGGCGGCGACAGAGTCTGCGAGGATGATGAAGAAGATGGTGCGCGGAGACCGGCCGAAGGGACGCCAGGGAGGGAGTACATGATCATTAGGACCCCAAGTTGATACCAGGTATTGTTTGCCCATAGACAACGGATAGAGCGTGGCTGGTTCGTATGTGTATGTGTGTATTATTACTGAATTCGTGCTGGCGTGGAAAACGTCCGTATTTATGCATTGGCACGGTATAGTAGGTCACGTATACTTTTCCATGTGCAATATTATACCTCAGGGTTCCTTGTGCAATGGACACTATTATGGACGGGCGTTCTGCTTGATTTTGCGATCGACGAAGCTTCTCAACTTGGGACCCATCACTTTTGCTCCGAGTCGGCGCCTGGCTGACGCTAGATTACTATTACTATTTGATTGTAACAATTATTGTTCCTCTTTCTGCCGCACGTCCAAAAGATTCCGCTGAATAGGATTCAGTTAAGCCTTGCTACTGCAGTGCCTTCCGGGGCAAGGGGGACCTGCGAGGCCATGAGGAATAGCCACCCTTAATTAGCTAGCGCTAATTTACCTCCGTTACTAGTTCAAGCGGGATGCAGGCCCAAAAAACTGACCAGATCCAGTCGGTTGCTATGAATTTGTCTAGAGAATGTTACAGTGAAGGCAGAAAGTTGTACTTTACGGTCAATATGGGCAAGTCTTACTAGGCTGCATCTCCGGTCGTGCAGTGTAAATTTACCGTAAATCACATTGGTAAAATAAGCCCAATTATACGCGGATCACTGCAAGTTCAACTCCATCCGCCTCCTGGCATCTTGATCAATAGTGAACACCACATACCGGCCTCGTCTGCGGCTGAAACGCTTCATTCGTGCGAGTCACTTTATACATCATGGGGCAGAGGCACCAGGCTTTTGTGATCGCTCGCGTCGTGCCTCATGGCTCGGCTGATGGGCAGGCGAAATATCGTTGCATCGCGGCATGGCACAATCAGTGGTGTTATGAACGCCTTCCACTGCGGGCGACTTCTCGGTTGATTACTCTGCTCAAACAGAAAGACAATGCAGAGATCGTAGAAGCTGAAATCCGTAGCATTCACGGCAAATACGGCCGCTTTGGAAAGGAACCATGTATTCCACAGGCGCCATGTCCATTCACAGCGGCTCTTCTAGCTCTGGCTTGGAACGCGGGCGACCTCGACACGAAGGAGCGGTACATGGGCGGCATGGCCTTCACTCATTGTCTTCTAAATGCTGGAATGGGATGCTGGGATGGAGGTGCGCCCACTGTTGTTGACATCGGCCGAGTAGTTGACAGCCTTTAATGTCCAGATAATAATGACGGGATTTCTATCATCGATGTTACGGATCCTGGGCGTCCTGCGTACTGCTTCATGATGGACGATCGCCTGCTTTCCGCGAGCGGTTATCTTCATCTGTACCGTGGCGACCCGGTCTTCAACCGCAGGTATATAGACGCGCTGAATGGCGTCGAAATGATCAGTGTCGAGATGTTGGCGGAAGCATGGCCGAAGGTGTTCAGATACGATGGTTTGACCGAGGGTCATCCGTTACAAGCAGATACCGGGGATAGCTCGTCCACGGTCGCGCCCTTGACAGACATTGCGCTGAAACCTGCGCTGATGCGCTTCATCGAGCTAGAAGACGTCGATGCCCTCGACCAATTTCTCTGGTTGCCGGGAAAGGCAGATCAGATGAAGTCATTGATACGCGAACTCAAGCCTATTCCGGCCACTGCTGCTTTGCTGCTGAGAAAGCTTTACGGCAACGACATCCCATCGCTTGATCTGACTGATTTTGACCTCACGCAAGAAGTGCTACTGCAGCTTGTCTCGAACTTAGGAAAGCTGACAGCGCTCAATCTCTCCTTCAATACCCGGATCACCGCCGATACCGTGCATTTGGTCTTGACCACAGTCCCGAGCCTCAGGCGGCTTGTCTTGATGGGCTGTACATCCGTGACAGAGAAGGAATTGTATCAGCTGCTGCAAACATACCCTCGGATCTTCTACAATCTGGAAGCACTGATGCATCCTACGTTGCTAAAGGCCATCGCACTGCCCGCATTCCCTGCATCATTCACTTACATTGCCTCTAACTCCGCGCGGTGGGCGGAGATATGTGGGTGTTCCCTCCCGGTTTTCACACCCGAGAGCATCGTAAGGTCCTTGACAGACGCCATATGTGCGCTTGCCAACCAAGACACCATGTACACCGATTATTCTAATGCGGTCGCAGCGGTTTGCGGGGTGCGCGAGCGCGAGAAGGCCTGGAATGAGCGCAGCGTTGTAACAGTGCCAGTATTGTCGACGCAATTCCTGACGAAGGACTATTCAGGATGGGCCCTATTGTCCTTATTTAATAAGGGGTATACAGGCAGTAATGGATCTCTCAACGATGGGTATGCATTTGTCCGCGCTAAGAAAAGCTTTCATCAAGATTGCGCAGAGGAAACCGAATCGCGCGCAGAAGACATGGATGAAGATAAAGTCGATCGTTTGTTCGACATATTCGACGTCCGCGGGTTCGCGCACGCCACTGCAGAGGAAGGGCGTCCGTCACTGTCCGAGACCGCGATCGAGCAGCTGGAACTCTATTTGTGCAGAAGCGAAGACACGGCGGCCAACTTGGGGCGCCTTGCATCAAAGCTGAAGAAGCAGCCTGAGCTGATGATGCAATTGATGTCGAAGAAGCAGGTAGCCGAGTTGTTGCGTCGGGTCGCAGAAGCACGGCAGCGTCTGGACGAACTATACTAGGGAGTTCCGTGACGGTAAGCTCGCACTGAGACGTTTGTCAAATGGTAATGACGGCAGTCATTCTTTGCCATTGTACTGTAGGATGAGACTTCGAAGCCCACCATTCGGTAGATTCCACGTCGCGTTTACGTTTTCACTCGATGCCACCTTCCGCTTTCCATTTTCGTAGCAGATGTGTCTCGTACCATTTAACGAAATAAATTGGCCATATAGCAGTGTGATACATGTGTCAACTGTCCGCGTCGTCTTCAATAATGACTTTCATTTTCCATCCCAGAGCATCGTCATCAGGCTCCTCCAGCGCCCAAGCAATGTCCTCGTCTCCCTCAACGACGCGCTGTGTATATTCCGGCGTTTGAACAGTAACATCATCTCCGAGGCCAACAATGTCGACTTCTTCTTCCTCGGCCTTTTTCTTTCGCAGAGCGAGCTCGTTCTCATCTTCCTGTGACACCAATGACGTTCGTCAGGGAGACTCAGACGAAGTTCAGGGAACGAACGTACTATATCGAACTCGTCCTCCTGCTCTTCGTACTCGACATTCTCGTCGACTTCTTCGAACCCGCCAGCGAACGCGCCCCACCTCTCGGGCGTCGGGCAGTGCCAGATGAGGACATTGCCAAAACTCGTCGTCGACGCCATCGACGGTTTGGTTGGATGCCACTGAGTAGCCGTGCGACGATGTGATAGTCAGCCGCACGGTCATTCACGGAAATGATTGAACTCACGTGGAGGTCGATGAGCGGATCTCGACCGCCGTCGAGGGCAGTGGCAAACTGTCCCTCGTTGAGAATGTCCCAGATGTAGATTTTGTGTGTCGCATTGTCTGCTGCACCTGCGGAGGAGCATCGTCAGTATCACTGCCTGTCGAGTATTCTGCAAAATCGCTCGTCGACAGTGGAACGCGGGTGAAGGCTCTAATGGGGACAAGACATTCACCTCCTGCAAGCCATTCTCCATCGGGGCTGTACGACATGCCATGCCATGCATTTTTGTTTATGGGGTCATTGAAGCGGTAGGTAGGCTCCAGCTCTTGCTCAAAGTACTCTCCATCGGCAGATGGGGGTGGATAGTAGGGGACGGTGAATTGACGGAGTGTACGATCGGAGGAGTTCGTGACCAGACGACTGGATAAATTCAAGTTGATCAAGGACGACAATGACATACACCGGATGTGCTCACCGTCCAGACTTATCAAATTCGAGACCACGCATGATACCAGCACCGGAGATTCGATGCCTTGCAACCATCTAGCCGCTGAGAATTCAGCATGAGGCGATAAACAACCCACAAGGGCAAATACTCGCCGTCTTTGTCCGTGTGTTGAAGACGAGAATACTACTCGAAGTCGTCCCTAGAAAGATGTGCTTTCCAGATGGGTCGAAGCGAGCAACTGTGAATGCAAATCTAGGACATAAAATCAACAATTTAGAGCTCTAGAGGAAGTGACCGTGTACAAGAACGTACCTCGGACGGATGGACTGTCCCTCGTCATCACTATCATCTTGTACCTCACAGAGTTCATAGCGCCCCTTGTATTGCTTCCGACGATCAACGACGTATGCTTCACCCGTGCTGAGCAGAACAAGAATGATGTTGCTTTGATGGCAAGGTTAGCATTGTGAGCATAAGTGACCAGGCATGACGTACATATTTCGTGGGTGGAAAGATGCGGAGACGACAGGCGCGTCGAACCTGATTGTGGCCTGCCGACGGACGGGCTGCGAGTCGGACGCGAGGTCCCACACGATGATGTTCCAATCCTTGGACGACGTCAGCAAGTAACGAGAGTTGCGGGACCAGCTGGAAGGGCAGAAAATGAGACTCACGCCGAAGCACGGTCACGGAGCGTCCACGCACTCTAGACTTGTGACTGCTTTAACGTGCCCGTCCGGAGTCCGTATGGCCGCCTTCGTGTCCAAATCCCAAACCTGCGCCGCGCCATTGAGAATCCCGGTCGCGACAAACCGACCCGATGGGTCAAACTTGGCTACCAGCGCATGGGCATCGAGTGATGTCTGGACGGCAGTTGGATATGTAATATTAAACGGGTCTGACGGACAAATAAGCTTGAAATGGATTCTGAAAAGCACGATACTTACTTGATAGTAGACCGTTCATGTCATCCCAACTGCGTAACAGCGGAATGTTGTGAATGAGGCGCAGAAAGTGCAATTGTGCTAACCATATCTGTGGGACGCGGACATTGCCGAGGATCCTGCTGGTCACGTGACTCCCGGATGTCGCACTTTCTGTAGCCTTTCCTCGGCCCGTCCCAATGAATGAGATGGTATGGTACCTGTTTTGCCGTGGTGGTGGGATAATTGCATTCTCCAAAGAGAAAGAGAGCGGAAAGTTGCTGTGGAGGTTCGAAGGAATTTATTATCTCGTCCGCGCACTGGAGATGCGCCGATTTGATCTCTTGATCACTGATCGTGACGCATCAATAAACGTTCAAGTTCAGCGGCTCAGCCCACGGCCTTTCAGTTTATCACCTCGACTTTGTGAGCATGGACATCCGAGACGATGACGCTCTGAAAAACTCTCTAGATGCCCTAGAAATCCCGGAAGAGTTCGCTCGTTACCACGCAATCACCGATGCGCAACTTATCTCGCTACTGGACGAATGGAGGAGCAATGTTCAAAATGCGCTTGCCGACCTGCGGACCTTGTTGCAAGCAAGAGAGTTGCTATCTGTCAACGAGAAAGCGAAGGTGATATCTGTCCTTGCGCCTCTCGATGGTCATGACCCTTGGATGCTGGGTTCTACCCGAGAGCAAGCTCAGGGTAAGCTGTCGTACTGTCCACTCGAGACCTGGGACTTCACGGATTGTGGGCTTCAGACATATTACAGAGGTTCTCTTCTCCAGAGACCCCTTTGCTGGAGCAGGTCCTTACCCAACACGTGAAAGCTGTCTTCCAGGCAAACCCACATCCCATGCTGAACGTCTCAACCGGGCGTACACGTACCCGCCTGATGGGTGGCCCTCTTGCCACTCTCGATCATTATGGAGGTCAGCTGTGGAAGGCTCGCCCAGGAGCGGTCAACCTGGTGTCTTGGTGTGTTCGACACTGTGATGTGAGTGGCAAGTGCTTAGACGTAATTATGCATCTAATCAACTGGTCGATGTGCAGAGCGTCGCGTACGAAAAGCTATGGCATCTTATAATCCCTCCAATGATGACCATACTCGATGACTATGAAGCTATGTACAAACTGCAAGGTATCCATATTGTCGCCGAGATGCTAGTCCATGTGCCAGCAGATCTCCTCCGTCGCACCGGTGTCGACGGACTTCTCTTCTCGGTACATTTCCTCCCCTCCTCTGCTTAACTTTGATGATCGATCTATTCAATTCACTCGCAGTCGCTCAAGAAGTGCCTTACCTACCTGCACAATTCCGAAACGCCCGAACTGATCCATCAAACGGTGCCCACTGCAATCTCCCTGATACAGCTCACAACAGCGCCGCATTCTGCGAAGCGCTTCGAGCAGCTTTGTGAGGTGCTGGGCGACGGAATCGTCGGCAGCGTTTGGATCTACGCCACGCGTGAGTCGGACGCGATCGAGGCGTCGGTGGACGTCCTCCCGGAAGCCGTGCAGGCTTTAGACATCGGGGCCGCACGCTATCTCAAGGTTCGTGTGTGCACTGCATCTTCATTTGAGCCGGGTTTATTCAGCGGCGATCGTCGTTTCTATTTATGGGCTCGGTAGGCTATCATCCCCCAGCTCGTGTACACTCTGGTACCTATGCCTGAGAACCGGGCCTCGAAGCAATTCCAGCTAAGTTCACTGCGTGCGATGTGCTCTGTTATTAGAGTGTGCGCGCCGCGCATGCACAAATGGAAACGTATCATCCTCGAAGGCACCCTCAAATGCTGGGTGTCCCTCGTCGACATCGGGGCAGACGACGATCGTGGGTGTTCCCGTTCCCGGTCTATATCAATGAGAATCTGGCGCTGAAAAAGAAGCAGAAGCGAGAGAGTTGATGAGCGCCTTGCGGAAGGTCTGCGGCTGTCTGTTGGAAGCATGTCCATCCTTGGCTCAGGTGAGCCCGTTTGCAGAGCCGGGATTATCAAATCTTATTCATGGGCTAATCCAGGACGAGTATGCACGGCTGCTGCAGTTGGACAGACAAACGTTCGATCCTCTCGTGGGAGGATTGGCAGCCAACGACAGTTAGTAAGACAACCATATGCTCGAAGTGCTGCTGGATCAATCAACGGTGAAATAAGACGGCCTGCATGGAAGATTGGAAGGCCGCCATGCATGCATTCCTGTGGCGCCGGAGCCAGACATCGTGCTAGATATGCAAGATACGCGTGGGCTACCATTGGCGGACAGTAACGGTTCTATCATAACTTGGACGCCACGTACTGGTTGTCGGGGCCTTTTCTCTTCATGTCCACGATCTTCGCTGGCATTGGATCTTGCAGTAATCACATATATGGATCACAGAAGGCACGTCGCTCCGTTTGCAAACGCTCGTGATGGCAGGGCCAGTCTAACACTGATGCCTTCCTCGAACACCGAATCTATGCCGGAGCACAATTTCCCCTACAAAATGACAACGTGTAGTTCATGTTTGACAAATGCAGTTTACTGCTCCAGATAGGCAAATAATGATGTTCCCGAAGGATCATCAAAGTGAACCCTTCGCTGTGAACGGTGAGAAGTGCTGAGATAGAAATACCGACACCGCTTTCTGATTGTTTGCAAGCATATTGGATGAAATATGATGACATATCTTGCTATACGTACTCGTAGCAGGTTGTGCATAAGCTAACTTCACCAGTTAGTATAGTCTTTGTTCTTGCTGTCACGGAAGCTTCGCGTACACGACAGATGTGCGGGTTCTACGGCACTTGCGCGCCGATTTCTGGAAGGCAAAATAACATCGCTGGGTACTCCAATCGTTAAAACAACGCAATGCATCTAGATCATGGAACCTCACGTCAAAAAAACCGGAGAATCCACTGACAAGCGGGATGCCATGCAGTGCCCTGCGATGACATCGCAAGTTTCGCACAGCATTCAAAACTGTCGGCTAGTGCATACGAACCTTTTACGTACAGGTACTATGCATGAAATCGAACGGGGAGCGTTTGTCCTCATCGCGTAAAGACCGAGATGCGTCCAGAGCTCCAGCGTCCGAAGGGTTACGGGCATTTCAGAACCTGCGCTAGAACCCCGGAAGCGTACCGGATGGCCAGGCGGGTCTATCTTGAGCATCGAAAATGCACATGTTGTCCTAAGGAGATGGCTCTATGACGATGATTTCTCAGGGCATGCCGTGAAGTACTGAGCATGAGGCGAATGTTCTGCATGATATTACGGTACTTAAGCGAGCGAAGAGCGGGTAAAATGGGAACTGTTCAGCGAGATATAGGAAGAGATATAGGAAGAAACTGAACTGTGAGAACCTCGCGAGAATCAGAGCGGCACCTGGTGAGAGAGGATCATCCGGGTCACCAAGGATAGTCCGCTCCGTCTCGGACGCAGCACGGCCTTTGCCGCCAATGCCAGTACCTGATCTCGCTTGCCCGTTGAGATAAGCTCAGACTTCTCGGGCAGCTCGCGGAATGCCAGCATGCGCTGGCCGACGGTCGCGTGTCCAATATACTGTGTGCTCGTTCTGGCTGTCTTTTTGAATGACGCCTGGACAAGACGAGACCGGCGGCGACGCGTTCCACAATGGCGACGAACGGAAATGAAGGCTGAAACGATGACGGGCCGCGTTGCGCAAATGTGTGGGGACGGGCGCCAATCTGCTTCAGCCGGGGAAGGCAGTAACCGGCGGCACGTTCCGGGATAAAGTTGCCTTTTCGGGGAGATCTTGGACGGTTCCGAACTCGGGCCGGGACGAGCCATGGACGTGGTTAATGAGTGGTCCCAATTAGTGAAATACCAGCTCTCCTGCCTTTTCATAGCCTGCCCAGACCCACCACCTCCTCTGCAATATCCCTGCGCGCCATGAGCTTCTCCATCGACGACCTCGTTTCCTCGTTCAAGTCGAACCATATCGGCCAGGAGGCTACAGACCTCGCCAACCTCCATGTAAGTCCATGTCTTACACGCAGTGCGGCCACTGGCTAAACCAAGTTGTTCGGCAGGCGCAACTCGCACAGACGCTGCGCAACCAGCCCTCATCGGGCACACAGTCCGCTACCCGGAGGTCCTATGCGCGCTGCAACACCCCTCTTTCCTGCACACCGTCCTCCAGCTTCTCCTGGGAGCCGAGTGACATATCCCGAGCCCGAAGTTCCAGTGTGGCGGGCCCCGCGCAACGCCGGGGGACGGATGAGCGCAAGCGAGACGCGGACGAGATGGAAGAGGACGAGCGCATGGTCGAAGATATGCTCATGTCCTCTCCGACAGCGTCTCACTTCCCTCAAATACACCACAATGCGCCGTCCTCGGCTTCCTCCCAGTCTAGTATGTCGCACGTCTCGTACTCAGGCTCGTATGAGCCTGAACTCTCATCTCCAAACACATCCTTGTTTGCGACAACGGACCCATTCTTCGCGGCTGCACTGCAGGCTGCGCAGGGCCCCCCGCCGTCGTTCTTTGCTCAGGCCGGCCGGCCATCTGCACACTCGCCCTTCGTTCTCGCACAGCAGTTCCAGTCGGCGTACAGCCACTCGCACCACAATGCGCCCGCCGAGGTTGACCCGCACCACATCTTCGCCGCGCCACCGGCAGCGTTCACCTGCTGACGGGGCCCGGCAGTCAAGCCGGTCGTGTCGACAGCTCAGAGAAGCACTCAATCTATCACCCCTTGTAATATAAAATGCGGCATGCAAGCGCCGCCCTCTCGTTTCCCCAAAGAATACCCCACGCCGAGTTCATCGTGCCTGCACTCGACGTTCACCTAGCCGGCCGCCTTACTCGCGATTTCGGTCAGAATCCGCATTGCTTGGCTGTTGTACTCCAACATACCATAGGACTGGCGCGTGTCCTCCATGTTCGGGTGGACCTGGTTGCACACTGTTCTTGTCTTATCCCCCCTGCCCTATACCAGCCACTCCTTAATGTTGTACAAAAGATGCGTCGTGCTTCAGGCAGACATGGACTGGTATATGAACCTGATATACCGTATATTTATCTCCCCCGCTCTGTGTGTCCCCTTGTCTTGCGAGGTTATATGTTAGATTAACGCCAGTCGTCTTGGCTTGTACTTTGCCACGTCTAATTGATTCTTGTCCTGACTGCATATCTTTGCTCTGCAGACCACCATAGGTCGGAGCACGCACTGACCCGCTTTTGTATCTGTGACGTGATCGATAGCCGCATACTGATCCTCTCCAGGGATCTTGACTATCCGTCGACTTCCAGATATGACATTCGTTGCACATGCTATAAGGGAAGCATCTCCAGCATAGTCTTCCACGGGATCGCGTAGATAGCGGTGGCGTGTTTTCGGTGCGTTCTCCCTTCCCTCTGTCATGCCTGCTTGCTCTGGCGGATCTTCGCTGACGATCATTCGTCAGTCAGCTGCTCACCGGCTGTCAATCCCTCCTATTCGCACGTGTGCGTGGGGGATAAGAATATAGACCGCAGCTCAAGTCGAGGGAGTTTGATTGAGTGTATGCAGCCCTCAAGATGGTCGGGTGCCCAGAAGCGCCTTCACGCCAATATCAAGCTCTCTTTGGCCAAGCATCCCATATCCGATGGTGACGCTACAGCACTCCAACAGCTGATACGGATACTTACGTCAAGCTTGGTCCGGCCAGTGAGGACGCCTCGCACCCGACTGACGCTTCTATCATGCACGCCAGCTATAGATAAGGGCGCGAAGCAGCCTTAAGGCTTCGGTCGCACGAGTCGAGATGTAGTGAACGTCCACCACTTGACGCCTCTCCTTTTTGCCACTACAGGAAGCTTGTCTGCGATGTCGATGTCGTTGAAGGATCTCGCGGGGATCGGGCCGTTGTTGTTATGTGCACTGTTCGCGCTCATCATACTCGCAATCAGGAAGGTCAGATCCACCCGTGCTTCCTTTGCGGATCGAGCGAGGTGCGACAAGGAGGGCAAGCGGGAGGCTGCTATGGCGAGGGCGCAAACGCAGGAGCGAGAGCCAGGAGGTGAGTGCCACCGGCTATCATTCATTCGTACTATCAGGATGTGCAGTTTGGCATCCGGTCGAATTTGACTACCCCGCAATCGAGCCTTTCGAGGGTGATATCATGACGTTGAAGCCGATACCGTATCGACCGTTCAGATGGGGGGAATACCAGTAAGGCAGCGATGTGCATGTTGAATCTGAATGGCACATTGAAGGCAGGTTTGCAGTGTCACGATGGGCATCAGGAGCATGAACTGGAACGAATGGACAGAGGTATATGCGCTAGTTTTCACGTGATGGCCACGTCGATCTGACGTCTCGCGTTCGGTACAATCAGATTGACAAGACCTTCTTCGATTACCACAAGGTTGTAAAACACCGGCTGCAGATCAGGGGCGACCGCGCGGTGATCGTCAACCCCGCGCAGCCCGGCATTGTGGGCTCCGCCCACGCTGCAGGTACGCCGTGTTGGCTCTCCCACTCTTACCTTAGATTAGATTGACTACTTGGCTGAAGCGCGGGAGCTCGTCCATGAACTTGCGGAGTACCTCTCTCGTCGTTACCCAGATTTATACCGGGTCGTGCGAAAGGAAAAGGGTGAGAAGGGCGAAGGTGGCTGGTATGGCGAGGGACCGATCAAGACCATTACCATCGAGCCGCTTGACCAGACGTATGACTTGGATGAGATGGAGCCTCTGAAGGTCGCATCGTTACTGTCAGTGCGTGCTCTAGCGTATGACAAGCGAACGTGCTACTCACATAAGAAATGTTTTCAGTGCCCAGGAAGACTGGGCCTTGATGCTCGAAGGTAGGTCAGCTCCCCTCGATGATGTCGTTTATATGTATGATCGGATTTGCAGGTTCCGATGGGCGATATTATTTACAAGCTGGAGCGATAGCCAAGCCGGGTGAGTAGATGTGAAAATCCTCCGGTCACAGAGATCATGACGTGAGAGACCCCCCAGGGTTCTGGAGATTACAGGACAAGATCGGTATGCCTCTTGAAGAAATCCATCTATCAGGAAACGTCCCACAATGTAAGCGTTGGAGTCGGTTATCTTATGAGGACGTCAGAATGCATAACAATCCATTTCGCCCAGATCAGAACAAGCTGCACGTCAGCATGGCCCGTTTCTTCAGACGTCTCCCAGTCGACAAACCCGTTACGCGAAACAACTATTTCTTCCAAGTTGTCACGTGGCCGCAGTCTTCCGCCGCACAGAACAACCCAGCGGCGACGATTGACCCAACCGAGCTTGCATGGTCGATGACGATGCACGGTAAAGAAGACAAGACCGACTTTGAACGCGCTGTTATGATGCGCAATGTTGGCGCCGAGGACGCAAAGACAGGTCCCTTGGACCTGGCGACGGTGTACCTCCGCACGGAGCGCCAGACACTCCGTCGGCTTCCCCGTACTGGCGCTATCGTGTTCTCGATACGGGTGTATCAAACATGTGTCGTAGATCTTGCGAAGGAGCCCGGCGTGCCTGGACGATTGGCAAGCGCGATCAGAGGCTGGCAAGAGGACGTGGCACAGTATGTTTCCTGTCGTCAACAAAGTACCCACAGAGTGTACTCTGATCTATTCGGATGCAGGTACAAGGATCTGTTTGCGTACAAGGACATTCTGCAATATCTGGATGAGTGTCATGCGGAGCAGCTGAAGCAAGGGGTCATCCGCGCGGACGACCCACAAACATCGGATTTTCCTTTCTGAAATGATCACATTCGACCGCTCTCGCTAGATGGTTCTACTGAGAGGAAATTAACCACAACTGTCTCGTAGAACCGTGACGCATCATTGAACAGAATATACGAGCATCGATGGGCGTCCGAATGATTTAAGCACTGCGCAAACCTACTGCGTGATATTGGATAGAAAGGCTTATTGTCCGTTACCAGGCAGATTGCGTAGAGTAGAGAAAATGCAAGCCATCTGACCATTCAATTGAGTCCTTGAGTCGACTTGAGTGTCATCACAGAGCATCTTGACTCCTGAGATCTGAGATGGCGGGAAGGCGCTCTTGCCAAGCGCCCAGTCCTGGGGCTGCGCGCCTCTTTATCATGCTAAGCCAGGACCGAATGCTCGAGTCAGTCGAACCGGAAAGTCGTGCTATTTATAAGAAAAGGACGCGACGAGAATGCCGGTACTCATAACGCAACAGGAAGATTGCAACAGCCATTATTGAAGCTTGCTATCCAGCATCACCATGCCCTTTGCAGCGGATCTAGTACGAGAATTTGCTATCCCAGTCGCATGTGCCGTGCTTTTGCTGGCAGTTTTTGCGGTCAGGCGAGGCATCTTTAAAGCTGGGTCACCATCAGTTCTGCGAAAGAATGTGGAACCCGCGGCTACAAGTAAAGACGCGCCTTATTCACGGGACTCGGGAGGTGAGTACTGCAAGGCTACGTTTCTGACAATCATTGCTGTGAATAGTAATTCTTCGACCTGTGATCCTAGAATGGTTTCCAGTACCATTTGAGTATCCTCCCTTCGAGCCTTTCACTGGTGACATTGCTACAGTGAAGCCGATCCCATATCGCCCATTCCGATGGGGTCAGTATCAGTGAGTCCATCCAGGTCGCATCATTGGCGTGCATGGTTTATAATATCATTCTGCAGTGTCACCATGGGCATCAGGAATATGCCGTGGAACGAATGGATCGAGGTCAGTCTGAAAGCAAAGAAGCCTCGCATTCCGCACTCAACCTTCTGCCGTTCTCGGTCCCATGAAACCAGATCGACCAAAACTTCGAAGCACATCACAAGCTCATTGAATATCGCATCAAGACTCGTGGTAATCGCCTCGTCAAAGTGCATCCCGCCCAACCGCAAATTGTAGCCTCTGGGCATGCTGCAGGTGACTGAATAGTCTCACTTTCACCATATGGCCGTGCTGACGAAACCTCCTTTGCGACTATTAAACAGCCGAAGAGCTCGTTTACGAGCTGGCCGAATATCTGTCCAGACGCTACCCGACCCTATACACAGTCACTCGCGAGGCAAGGAGCGAGAAGGACCAAGCAGGTTGGTACGGTCAGGCTCGTATCAGGTCGATCACAATAGTTCTGCTTGCGAAGACTTTCGACCTGGCAAAGGAAGATCCGATGACTGTCGCCTCCCTTATGTGAGCACATCATTCACCAAAGACACGGTAATTGAGTACAATCCTTCATGATGCCTTCTCCGCAGCATCCAAGAGGACTTGGCCATCATGATCGAAGGTACAGACACTTACTGTGCATGACGTGCGTCCTAATCATTTACCTTGCGCAGGTACCGATGGCAGATATTACTTGCAAGCTGGGGCGATCTGTATTGCTGGTGCGCGACAACAATTGATGATTAGAGGGAAAACTGAAACGTGCGTTAACATCTATTGCAACAGGCTCCTGGCGTCTTCAAGACAAAATCGGCATGCCACTTGAAGAAATCCACGTCACGGGCCATGTACCCCAATGTAAAGCAACCATACCATTTACTTTCCATCCATCATGAAGCCTAATCGTATTCCTTGGGTGCCACCGCAGACCAAAGCAAACTCCACCTCAGCATGTCGCGCTTCTTCCGCCGTCTGCCCGTCGACAAGCCAGTCGTCCGCAACAACTACGGATTCCAACTTGTCAGGCCTCCCACAGCTGATCCCAACGCCGATCCCATCGAAGCCCTCGATCCGACCGAGCTTTCATGGTGCCGCACGGTGCACGGCGACGAGGACCGGATGGACTTTGAGCGTATTGCAGCCGCGAATATCACGACACTTGTGGACGAGAAAGAGGAGCAGAAGCGTACACAGATGCCGGTGAACCCGAAGACGGTCTATCTGCGCAGTGAGCGACAAACTCTGCGCCGTCTTCCGCGCACCGGCGCGATCGTCTTCACCATCCGTGTGTACCAGACACCCGTGGAGCAGCTCGCGGCGGAGCCAGGAGTACCCGGCAGGCTGGCGAGCGCAGTGAGGGGATGGTCGGATGACGTTGCTGAGTGGGTGTTCCGTGTATCTGTGTTGGCTGATGCTGACGTCTCAAAACTGCTCCTCCGCCATTGCAGGTATAAATCTCTGCATGTGTACAAGGACATCTTGCAGTACTTGGATGAGAAGCACTCGGAGCAGCTGTTGGATGGAGTCATCACAGAGGATGAGCGTCTCTCTCCCTACCCGTTCTGAGGTCCCAAGAATGCGTAGAGGGGCATCATGTTCTCGTGCGTGGCCAAATGGTCATTTGACATCCGCCGCTAGCATCCGTCCAACACATATCACATCCGCGTCGCTTGTTGTAAATTCGAATGTGCCATCGGCCGCAGCACTCTTTGCGGTTCTGCTGCTATTGATGTTGACGCATTTTGCCGTGGGAATGGCCATTTTGGCGTCGGGACATGAGTTTCCGATCGTGCAAAAGGGGCCGACGCGCAGGTTACACTGGAATGCAAGACGTCATGCGCACTGCAGGGAGGAGGCTCGATGCGCGTCACCAGCGACGACGCCCGAAGAGCTATTGCTTCTAATGTAGAGGAAACCATGGTGATCGACCCTCTACAGCGATATCTGCAAGCAGAACGTATAATACCGCGAATGTCGATCAATCCGAGACGATGAGTTACGAATGTCGGAGGAAGGGCACTTCTGTGTCGTGCGATGAGGATGTGCGCACAGCTCAGCTGCGCGTCACGGAGGGCGCACAATTCGAGCCCAACGCGTGGCAAGTACCCATGCTATGCGAGGTCTCGACGAGTTGAATGGGGAAATGCGGGGTCGCAAGGAAGTCTTCCTGGACATTTTGCGGCGGATGAAACAGGAAGAGAGAGACGAGGGGTTTGAGAGGAAGTGTATCTATCCGGAGACCGATATCTTCCGCGGAAAAGAGAACGCAGGCGTACGGACGTCCTCCTGCGTGTTCTGCAATCTATTTCACGAAAACGTGCAAGATTCCTCGATCATCCCATAAATCCATAACGCGCTTCACGTAGTCTTGCAGTGGCTCTTCAACGAGATCCAGCATCTCCTCCGTAGTGCTCCAGGTCATAATCTCCACATAGACGCGATCCAGGTTGTTAAACGTCCTCTGAGTGAGTGCTTGACGAATAAGACGGGTGTCCAGCCTTTTCAGTTCGTGAAGAAACCGAGGACTCCCAGCAGCTTCGATTACAAGTTCTCCCAGAGCCACAAAGCGGAGCTTGATGTGCAGCTCGTAACAGTTCCAGAGCCGGAGCTGCATGAGGGCATGGGCGACACTGTCCCACAGGATGTCGAGCGACCATATGTCAACGGGACGGCGTATCTCAAACTGCAGCTCTGTACAAACAATGCTTAGCTTCTCACCAGGGTCATGATTCCAAAGTCACACACCATCGAAGGACCGATCACCGGTGAGAAGCATGACCTCAGGCGGTGATCCTCCATAGATCTCTAGCTTCCTGCCAAATAGATCAGGCGCAGTGACCGATTCGTATTGGCAGAGGATCCTCAGTTGATTGACATCATCAGGAACCCAATGACCCGCCTGAAATTCAAGCAAGGCTTTTGTATCCTCTGTGTGAAACTCGTCGCCGTTCCATTTCCACATCATATTACGCTTGAATTTGTAGTCCACGCCAAATCGCCCGGGTCCGTATGGGGAAGGTTTAATGAGCGGAAGAAGAAACACGGCGCTGTTAGCAGGTGGCATGGTCCCAAGCCCTTCCGGACTGCTCAACAACTCCAGCCGTTCAATGAACAGCTTCTCCACGCAGCTGAAAGCAAAAACATAGCTTCGGAACTCGTTAAAATCTTCAAAACAGCAGTCGTGTATGAACATATCAGTGACAGATCCAAAAATCCACGGGACGAGCTCCGCAAAAGCAGGGTCCGTCAGAGCGTCCTTTACCGCACTCGAACTAGCTCTCCGAGTGGATAACAAATGCGTTAACCTGAGTGTCTTGATTTGAGATTCATATGGGTGTTGTAGATCTCGTGTTTGCTGCAATCCTCCTGTCTTTGCTGGGACCCAGACAACCTTATCTAGGCAGAGAATAGAGAGATGGCGGATGGCGCAGACGAGCTTCTTGAGATCGCTCAGGGTGTGGAACCGGCAGTTATACAAGATCACTGAGCTGAGGTAGGGGAACTGAGCAATGCCCCAAAAAAAGTTGAATGACAGCGGGGATCTACCCGTCTGCCAATCGCTATTGATGAAGGATATGTGCAAGAGGCTGGGAAGGTCGCTCGAGAGAACAGGAGGCACTTGCTGGCTATAAGGATGCCTCTCGTCTTCGAAGACCTCCAGAAACCTTCTTTTCGGGTATAGTTCTGCCGAGGTTAATGAAGAACAGACGCGTTTCAACGCTTGGAGATCGGAGAGGTCCTCCAGAAAAATGCCATTGTAGCGGGCTTGCTGCTGGGCGCAGAGCTTGTACCATTCACGACATACGCGAGTGCAGTTCTGATACGTCTCGGGGCTCGTCCAAAGGTACCGTAATATAATGTCCACGATATCCAAGGGGATCTCTTTGGGCATTCTGAATGATGGCCGTCAAGTTGTAACGAGCTACCGAAATCATAGGCTCACGTACCTTGTGCGCGCGTATGAATCGTCCACACTGTCGACCGCCATTGCAGAAACTTGCGAGTAGGTAGTAGACAGGAGAGGATGGCGTAGGCTTGGTTCCGGCCCTAAGCATTCGGGATGAGGAACACCTTCCTTTAAACCGCATACAACGCACCCAAATGCACTGCATGCAGGAGACAGCATGGTGATTTTCTCACGCTTGTCACATACTACACTCGTGTTTCAGTCTCAGCCCGACCGTTGTAGGCTGAAAAACAAGGTGGGTCCTTGTCTTTGTTCACAATATAGAACAAAATGCCACGAGGGACCGTTGATCAATCGATGGCGCTTGCAAGCGTCACGCGTCACATGTTAGCCGTGACGCTCTGGCATGTCTTGACTCTTCAGACGTTTACGATTGAGCTATTTCTTGCCATTGATGTTGTTGAAGTTGTTAAACATAGATATGGATTCATGTGTCTAGTGTTAAACGATACACGGTCATACATCAAATTTATAATTATAGCCTAGCAGCGACCAAGCTGCCACAGTGCATCAGACAGGACTTCTCAGATTGTCGACGACGCCTTCTCTCTTCCCAGAGCACAGGGCCGGATGAACACTTACGAAGGTGCTTCGTATTCCACGGCCTGATTGAGAGGAACCACGTTGAGTATGCTCCGTCGAGGGAGGGCAGGATCCCGTGCTAGGAATCAGAAATATAAACCCAACATGAGACGCATAAGTCCATAAGCCGAGGCAGCGCGATCGCTAGCCTGAGTCAAATGCTCGTCGGATGTGCAGAACCTTGAGAGATTACGTATCCTCAATGGTTGTCAAGGCCATCGTATTAAAAGGCGTTTGACAGGAGCATTAGGAGAAGAAATCGTGGAAGACGAGAAATCCAGAGCCAAGAGTCTGTACACTTTGAGTCGCGTAGCATGAGCAAAACAGTCGACGAGGGTGCCGAGGTTCTTTGTGAATGCCGAGGGGAAGAGACCGACGCACAGGAACGAGCGAATTCCGGCTTCACGTAAATGACGATACCCTGAACCGGGACGAAGACAGATGTTGCAGCCACGGCACCTGTGAGCAGTAGATACAAGATGAACAATCGAGGAGACACACCGGGGTGGCCTTGGAGATGACGAGCTCCGTACGGACGAGTTCTACGAAAATGCCATTCAGCTCGAGGACCCAAACCAATTGAAGACCACAGAGCATACGAGGCGCTTGACTCACAGCCGTCGAAGATGAGAGATCGACAATTGAACGTGTGGCATAGATGGAATGAATTGCGAGAGCAAGCCGAAGAATCTTGAAGGCAGGAGCATTCGCGGCTGCCGCGGTCTGTCCTGAAAAATTCAGGCTACATAGGTCTCATTGAAGATGCGCTCGGAAAGCTGAGAGAGAAGATTGACGGAAGAGATTCTTCTCGTTGGAGTCTATTACTGCAGCGGACCATTAGCAATAACTTTGATATAACGCAGAAAGCTTAGCCACCGATCGTTCCCGCAACAACGATCGATGAGCTGAATAGTAGCCCATATGGCCCTATGAAGTGGTTGAAGACTGAGGCTGCCACAAGGACGACGTACGATAGAGCAATTCCGAGCTTCCGGATGGAAGCGTAGGTAGCTAAGAATGATATTCGCCGTATAAATGGTTAATTTGCAAGAAGTTCCTTTCTGGAACAATTCTGAGGGAGCAACTGGGCCTGCCAAGTGTCCGAATGTGAGAGCTGCTCGACACATCCCACTGAATTTGTTCCCTGGGCAACCAAGTTGTCACGGAGCAGGTGAAGGTGTTAAACAAGCGGACAGTTCGGATCATCCCGGGGTTAGGGCACGCAGGCGCTCGGGCCACTGAGTAAACCAGCCACGTACAAACCACGTACGCACCATACGGAGATTATACGGTATCTGAATATGAGCTCCTGATGATCTAGTGTCATCCGATATCGCGTCGACGTGTAAGCATCACGGTTGAGCAGAGGCTATAAGACACGACCGCAACTGTCCGTCTATTCGATTGCACCCTTCAGCCCACTGCAGCACTGATCGCAGCATCTCCGAGGCAGAGGACACACATCAGAAGTGAGTCGCAGCGAAATAATCAGACGGATGATGGTCTAAGCGCGTGCTGATGCTAACCACCACAGGCTGCCTGCTGCACCATCCAGTCCTAGTATCTCACTTACGCACTCTCAAGATCCTAACAGTAAGGCGACAAATCATGTCGTAGACCTCCCAGCAGAGTTGATCCCGCAGATCGCGGAGGCCTGCCTGGGAGACTTTGATGGTGCCCGTATGGCCTCTCAAACTACCCCTTGGATAGTACGACAAACAATTCTGCCCCGCGTGTACGCGACACCCCCTCCGCTCACCAACATCGACGCCATCGCACGCTTCCCAGAACACGTCCGCCGCTTCGTGCGGAACCTCTGGCTCGAGGACCCACGGACCTTCTCAGACGCCTGCACGCGTCAGGCGCTGTGACTCTGGCACACCATCCCCAACCTCGCCATCCTGTATCTCCCGCTTTCGCGGTGGTGCAACTCCGGCGCGTTTGAGCCCGGCGCACGGGCGGCATGCACGCACCTCACGACCCTCGGGCCCGATGTCTACTTCGGCTCGGACGAAATGCCCTTCGCGATCCTGGACGCGGTCACGCACCTGCGCTTCGTGAACGTCAACATCGACATCTTCTTCCACTTGATGTTGATGCTTCGCATGCGTGCGCTCGACTACGTCGCGATCCCTCTGGGCAGCTCAAACCATGAAGAGTGCATGGCGTGCGTCTCAGCTCTGCTCATGCACAAGAGGGTGAAGATGGTCGTCCTTGTGCTCGATCGAGAGATGGAACCAGAGGAATGGGTGGCACGCGATAAAATAGCTATGTCGACTAACGAGAGCCTCTTCGTGGTCCCAGGAGCCCATACGCTACAGGGCGTGCGTACGGAATGGTACACAGCGGTGGCTGACGGCGATGATATCTGGGAGAAAGCGAGAAGAGTGCGCGAGGCAACAATCACGGAGAATCATGACGAGATCCGGAAGCTCTGGTCAGTTCGTTAGCGATTGCTCTGAAGATTTGCACCCATGTCCTGACGGAGCTCCGTAGCGCACTCGGAAAGTCATGCTTTGATGTGGCTAGTCTTGCTTCCCCTGCCGTCGCTTCGAGCTTATGTGCAACGTTCCATTCCCAGATCGTGCCGTGATCACTTGACATTGATTTAAACAGGCTCCGTTATCTTTCAACGGTATAACGTAGATCTATGAATCAATAGAACACATACATTGGATCGAATAACATCGTGGCGTATCGCATAGATCAGCTGTGGCCATACTGAACCTGAGTGTGGAGGCAACATACGAACAGAGCTTATGATATGCTCAGCATGGACGTCACATCAGCATGCAAGTTCTGGAAGATTAACTCAAAGCGACTTCTGCGAATAGAATCACGACACCTGGCTCGGCACTGCCTTCTAAGCTCTCTCTTCATACAGTCATCATAAGTGTCCCCCCCCCCCCTCTTCCCACAATCACCTGTGCGGTTGTGAAATCGCTGAAAAAGAGCCGGCTTGGATATCGCCGGCAGTTCCGAAAGCCGTGTCGATGAAGGGGCAGAGCGCACATTCTAGCAGCAACATATACATTGCGGCTACCGGAGTATTCGACTTGAGCCGAGACAAATAATCTCAGGTCGAATACCGCCGCAGATCCTAAAGATACACCGACTGATATCAGGACTATGAGGGTGACGTGCTTGCCAGGGCGGTCGGAGCTCGAGCGAACCACCTGATGTGCCTGCGAAGTGACGCAAGAATAGACTGCGCAGGAAGCAGGTGCTTACTGGCAGACGAACAGAATTCCATACACGTTTCTGCTGGATGAACTAGCTGTGTACCGGCAAGGAAGACTTGGAACGGGTGAAGAGAACTTGCATTGTAGACAAACAATTGTCGAACATGAGGCTTTCTTCTGGTTCGCCAGAAAGTACAGACGTCGGTGGCGGGCTAGGCACGATAAATATCCGAGAGGCTCTTGACTTGGAAGCGGTACGCATACCACCACGCACCAGCGGATAGAATGCAGATAGTGAAGGCGTGTGTGCCGTATCCTAGCCGACGAGGACCGATATTCCACTTCGCAGTTCTTCACACTGCATGAACGAATTTGAAGACCAACGGAATGAACGCACTGTTCTCATATTTCACTCAATGCTTGAGAAGGTGCAACCCATGAAAGAGAATTCGTTTCTGTGCGGAGAAAGCTTCTTGTACTTGGCTCAAAAAGCTAGGTTCATTCCCGTCATCGTCGGCGCACGCATGGTGCTCGCTGAGATATGGAAGGCAAGTCTGGGGCAGTGATATTGATATGTTCCGCAGCCTCGCTGGTGGTTGATCATCGCTAGAAGCTGTGTGATTGCGTACTTGTATGAGCGAGCCAAAATTCCGGTTGCATGAAGGGAGCTTTGTGACGCTGGCGAGTGATCGTTCACATACCGCCTTCAGCGAGCTCGGCTGCTGCACTGGACGCATGTGAGAGGTCCGACTGTGGCCCGATGCTTCTATCATGGTATGCATATCACATTGGCATCGACGATAGTGAGAGTACGTGCCCATTGATAGAGAACAAGCATGCTCTTGGTCGCGTTTGAGCGACGGAGAACGTGCACTAAATGACGCTGGAACAAGCTCTTGCATTCGGCATAGCATGCTGGCCATCGCGTCGGGTCTTGGACACGTACCATGAGGGCTGCACGATTCCTGGAAAAGGCCTAGTGTGCATACACGGCTCCGTCACGCTCCAATGGGCGAACGCGCGCATATTGTTTCGGTAGATAGGGTCCAATACTCCCGGCGGGCTGAGACAATTCGCAAGAGGCCATCACGAGCACTATTCCAGGAAAGGCTGTCTTATGCTCACTTGAAGTGGGAATGACACGTCGGTAAATCTGTAAGGCAACCGCTCCTCCACCGGCCTGCACCGTGCGATATATGCGCAGTGGCGACACAGTACCTGCTCTGTCATGCCCGTAGTTGGCGGGTGATCGGCGGAACAATCATAGCAGCCGGGCGAATGCTGGTTGGCTATACGACGTCGTCCACATTCGTGTCCCGATTGGTGTCCGAATCTTGGTGCTGAACGTGTTTGATGCGGTCGCGTATTGCGATAGGCGGTGTCGAAACAGACCAGAAGGTGTGGTTGCGAGACAGGTGCCCGATTAGCGTGTCGGCTGCCTCTGGAAGCCAGAGAAGTAGAGGTAAGATGGGAAGGTTTTTTGTGAATGTCCGGAATACGGATGCCTGAGAGGGAGGGAGAGTGATGGTTACGAGAGAGGCGCGGGCGCTGGCGCTGGAGCGTCACCGACCGCTCCACCGCATACGCGTGTATGCACTTTGTAATATTATGATTATGACTGCACTTACTCACCTACCTCATCCTCGCCATTCCGTCCGTTGTTCGGCTTGCCCTTCACGGCCTGCTAGGCGATGCCCAAGCCTACGCTGATACAAACTATCCTCGGCCGTCCATCGCAGTCCTACGCCTTTCCGCCACAGAGGAACTACCACTCGACAAAGTCCGAGCTTGTCCGTGTCGCCACTGAGTACAGCACGTTTGAAGAAGATCAACGTGCGAGTGTCTCCGGTCACTCCCACACGTCTCGTGCCGCAGCGCGTGCATCCCGCACTGCTGCACCACCCGCCCGTCGCACCCGCTCTCTGCGCAGTCAGGCAAGGCCGTTGAGCCCGAAGGCGACGGCGCAGCAACGTTCGCCAGAAGTGAGTGTTCGGCTATACATCTCGGAGACGACAGCTTATCGACTGTCACCTCTTTCCCTTCCTTGTCCCAGCTTCTTTCTAGCCGATCTCTTATCCGCCAAATCGCGTCATCTGAATCTGCAAAGCAAAACCAACGCGAGAATATCGCCCGGCAGCCGCACCACCACATTCGCAGTCTGCCGCCAGCCGGATACATAAGCCGCCCTCCCTCTCCCGGTCGCCCTGTCGACGAGCAGGCCGGACTCGACAGCGAGAGCGACGTCTTCTATACTCCGTCCTCTTCGCTCAATCCCTTGCCTCGTGTCTCGCACGTCACTCCCGAAGTGGTCGACACCATGCACATCGAGCCGCGTGCACTGTCTGCTGCGCTGCGCCCCCTCCGTGCTGCTGGTAGCATGAACCTCAAGTCGACCCCCGCGCCTCCAGAGATCTCTCGCGGCTCATATGATGCTGCGGAGCGGGAGCTTGCCATAACGCCAGGTCCCATTTCACCACTAGATGGCGACGCTGGCCCTGGCTCCGCCTCGGTCTCCCGCACTCCCTCGGACTCGTCGATTTCCTCATGCAGCGCAGTCTCTGTGACCGCCTCCGCCTCCGAACACGATGGAACGTCATTGTTTGAATCTGGAGGAACTACGTCGACACACGTAACGACTGTCGTTGGTTCGAATTCGGACCACCAGCACAAGTCGGAAGAGGAAACGGGTGAGATTATCACAATCGTCTCTAGCTCGAATGCACGCAGGCCCCGCCCCCTTAGCATCGATCTTTCACCGGCTTCGCTCGTACCCCGCAATACCGAACGCGCCGTCCGCCGACACTCACAGCCTGCTCGCAGCGACGAAGACTGGGCAAAAGACGCCCGATGGCTCGTTCCCCCATCGTTCCCAGACACCCCTCCTGCTCGCCCTCGTCCGAAGTCCATGAGTTTCTCCGACTCACAACCTAAAATTTCTCGTCCGATCCATCCAGACCTCCTACCGCTTCCTATTATCCCTGCTCCGCATCATTTCGACCGACAGATGTTCCCTGACTTGACCGGTATTCCACTGATCGCTCCTTCTCGGCCTCGCATCAAGGAGCATGGCTCGAGGAAGAACTCACCGCGCCAGTCCAGGGTGAGGATGTCCGCGCTCTGGGAGGAGGACGAAAGTGAGTACAGCACGGACATAGGTACAAGTAGCGCGGAGCCGAGTCGGGCGAGCACCCCAGCGCCGGTGTCCTCCGTTGAAGGCTATGTTACTGCAGGCGAGCGTAGTGCCACGCCTCCGCTGGGCTGGCCATATGCTGGCATTGGAGCAGGTGGGGGAGGCCCGCGTCTCAAGTCAAGCCCCATACAACGCCGGGCGTCCATGTCCGAATCCGAATTGCTCGCGCAAGTTTCGCGTCCTTCATCAGACCCGTCGCCATCCAGTGCCTCCCCAGACGCCCAACTGCATGCATATGCCCAAGCGCGTCCTCGGCCGAGCCGTCTGCGCTCACTTTCCTTCTCCAATACGTCCGCACCATCGCTCGGCTCGCCCGATTTCCCGACGCTCGCTATCCCCGCACCGGTGCCTGAGCCCTCAGGTGCGAGCAGCGGGTACACCGGCCTGACGTTGCCGCATGCAAGCTACACGCCCAAGATCGGGAAGCCGCTCGCAGATGGACACATTGACCTCGTGCGCTCCGGCCGTGCGCAAAGCAGCATGGCAACAGTCGAGGTCGTGCGTGGGGCTGCGAACTCATCGTCGGCCTTTACTAAGCTGTTGAGGAGGAAGCGGAAACGCGAGGGTGCGACGCCAGCGCATTTGAGAGATACATTGCCCTTGCCCGTCGCATTCACATCGCATGTGCCGCCACCGTCATTTGTGCCTGCGGCATATGTGCTCGTGCAGGTGTTCGCGGCGGGACTGGATGGGTTGGACTCGATGATTGTGCAGGAGAAGGCTGACAAGAGGAGTGTCGCGGCGACGCTGGGGAAGAAGAGAGGATTTGTGCCTGGCAGGAGTATAGTGGGGAAGGTGATGGAGTGTGGGTTCGAAGTCAACAGCGAGGTCTGCAGAAGGGGGGACTGGGTGTTGGGGTTGTTGGATGTGCGAAAGGTGAGTTATCGATTAGCATATGCGTCTTCGTTAGGTATTTGCCTGATATGCTGACTAAATGCGCGTTTAGTGTGGTGCCTTGGCAGAGTTTGTTCTGGTTGAGCGCCATCGTGTCTTCCGCTCTCCGGCGCCGCGTGAGCGGCCGACGTCTCTTTTCCCTCCGCGCAAACGTAAGCATACGCATACACGGACGTTGTCCCTTCCATCTGTTCCTCCCACCAGCACCTCTCCCACAAAACAGTCTGTCTCGTCTTCACCACCTTCCTCTCGTGCACCACTAACCCTCGAAGAGCTTGCTCTACTCCCTCTCTGCGGTCTGCCTGCATATCGCGCTGTACGCACCTTCACTGACGTCATCTCGTCCCGGCGAAATCGCGAAAGCCCGTGGATCCTCATCTTGAATGGGCACGATGGTCCAGGAGCATTGGCAGTGCAGATGCTCGGAAAGAAGAGGGCACGTCTCTGCGTGCAGGTCCCGGAGTCGGCCATGTCTGAGCCAAAGGAGAGCTCAGAGCCATCAGAAGAGAGTTCAAAGACTCCGGGCTCCAGCAGACATGACAAAGTGGTGGCGCGTGTTCGTGGATGGGGTGCGGAGGAGGTCTGCGTAGGTGATCCGCTTGCCGTGCTCGAAACATTCGTGGAGGAGGAGCGCTCATTCGACGGTGTACTGGACACTGTGGGCGGCGTGTTCGTATGGGAGGCGTCGCAGAGGCTTCTGTCGTTCGGCCCGAACCCAGATTCTCCCAGCACGTCTTTGGATGAGCCTTCGACACCAGAGAGCTCGTCCGAGCCATCGTCGGAAAGCTCGAAGAAAAAGAACATCACACTCCCGGTACAGTTCACCACCCTCATGGGCGATGTTCCCTCTCGTGTAATTCCCACCGCGCACGACAACCTGCGTTCTGGTCTTCGCTCCCTTCGGCGCTCGACGGTGACGAGTAGCAGTTCGTCGACGTCAACCAGCCGTTTATCCGGTACTCTCGGCAAGAGCAGAATTAAACGAATCATCGGGTACACCTGGGTCAGCGTCGCCTCGGACGTCGAAGAGGGCGAGGACGTGCGGTATACGCTTGGTGCAGTGGTGGAGATGGTCGGAGGCGGCGCAATCCGCCCGTGGGCGGGTCAAGGGGAGGACGATGAGCGCGTGGTCCCGTTCGAGCGTGCGCCGGAGGTATTCAGACGCGATGCGGTCGGACCAAGGGGCGTGCTGAAGGACGGCGGGACGTGTGTCATCAAAATCGGCGGCGCATAAACTCTGCCTGCTATGTCCGCTTACATCATGCTGACATCTCCGTGGCTTCTTGACATGCATTCATCTCCGTGCCTCATGACCGGTAATCCTTATTCCTGTAGCTGCATGATTTCCCAGGATTCCCCTCGATTTCTTGATGTCCTCGATCTCACTCGCATTATGATTGTTTTGTCTCATAGCGTTTTGGGTTCATTCCCCCGCCACTCCCTCACATTTCATCTATACCCAGACACACAGAGACATTGGCAATAGAACATCATGACCTCCCACAATGTAATATAGCGATGCATGTATATATAGCGATGCATGTATATAGTAGCGATACTGGATAGACCGCCTTCAGGCCTGACTTAGAAGAACTTCTTGAAGTCATAAGCCTCCTCGTCGTCGTTCGTCGATGCGGTCTTCTTCGATGCTGCATTCGCGGCCTTCTTAACGGCAGGGGTATTTGATGCCTTCTTTGAGGCTTTTGCCGCTAGAGCTGCCTTCGGTGTTGGGGACACCTTGACTTTTGGTTTGGTCGAGGGGATATCGTCTGCCTGGGTGTGGGTCCTTGCCTTGCGCGCGGCCGCATGCGATTGGCCACCTGCAGCAGAGCGTGCTTGTTTCGTTCCCTTCGGCTCAGGCGCGAAGGCGACCTTCTTCGCCGGTCGAGCGAGTACTGGTGCCGCTGCACGTTTCCTCTTGCCTTTCAGTGCTGGTCTCGCCTCCTCGTCCTCTTCACTCTCGTCCTCCTCTTCATCGTCGTCGTCCTCATCGCCACTTTCTTCTTCCTCATCGCCACTCTCCTCCTCAACGTCTATGCTAGCATCTTCACCTAGCGGTTCATCACCCTCCTCACCCTCATCTTCATCTACGCCGCTCCCGTTCCCGCTGTCATTCGACCCGATCCACGAAACATCCAACACGACCCGTCTGCTCTCCGACTCTCCGGCCTTGAGCTTGACGATCCCTCCCGCCTTGCGCATCTCCTTCCGGGTGGGCAGGCGCGCGAGGATCTCATCGTCCTTTGCGTGTACGTCAGCTAGGGAGGCGGGGGGCTCGACCGACGTGGGGGAGGGCGATGGGGCCATGGTGTAGCGCGGGAACTTGCCCGTGCTCCAATCGCGGAGAATGAGGCGGGAAGCACCCGCAAGGTCGAGCATGCTACCCTAGACGTAGTTCTCAGTGGCACAATCCTATCGCGACGACCGTAGATCGGTACTGACCTTCTTAATAAAACCATTCGAGCGAGCGACGCCTGAGAGGAAGGCGTTCCCATCACCCTCTGTAAAGGCAGGAAGGTTGTAGAATAGCATCAGGTCCTCGCGGTCAGCACGAGACGCAATTTTAGCCACTGTTCCGTCAACATCAGTATGACACGGCACGCAGTGGAAGCCCGTAGGAATGGAGACTGACCGACAAGTGCTGGATCTTTTAACCGATCGATCCGCCCTCGGTTTCTCGTGAGGATATCCCCCGCGCGGAGTCGCTGCCATTCTTCCTCTGTCTCTTCTGCGGGAGACTGCCAGGCGAGACCCGGCGTGTCGATCAAGCGGATCTGTTTCCCATCAAGGTCAAGCGTCACCTCCTGAGCGTGCGTGGTAGTCGTAGGACCGTCCAGAGCCCCAGAGGCCAGCTTGTACGTGGGAAGGACGGCCTTGCGGAGGAGAGAGTTAATAAACGAGCTCTTTCCTGACTATGCACCAGATTAGGGTCTGCACGGGTGGACGATAAACGCTGGACGCATACATTCGTGACGCCAACCACGGCAACGACCAGCGGTTCGTCGTCAGTCTTTTCCTCTGCCCATTGACGAAGAAGTGCATCGACGGATTTTACTCCCCACGCATCGTCCGCGCGCTCCTTTTCCTTTCCTTTGCCAACGTCCTCAGCGGTCGATGGTAGGAAGGCGGAGGCAGAACGGAATAGCACAGTAGGATGCTGGCCTCGGAGCGACTGCACCCAAGATGATACCGCCTCTCGAGGGCATGCATCTGTGTGATATTAAGTTTCGGATTCGCGACCAGATGAGGTGCACACACCGATTTTATTAAGGACAAGAGCTGTCTTCTTCCCGTCCGAAAGCTCATCAACGTGCGAGCTTCTGCAGCGTAATGGATCACGAGAGTCCAAAACTTGAAGGACGGCATCTGCACTGTCCAGCACGGACTTCAAATCAGGCAGCTGGGGATCCAGGAGCATAGGTGTATCCTCTTCGACCTCAACAGCAGATGGGACGACCCGTCGTTCGGTCTGCTCTTTCCTACTTCCGCTGAGTGTCCTCACACCGTCGAAGCTTCCCTCAGCCTCCGCAGCGTCCTGACCAGCTTCCTCATCTCCCTGCGCTTTCAGACCCTTCTTCTCCTGTTTCCTCTTTTCCTTCTCCTCTGCGCCCTTTCCCAAAAAGTCAGGCAAGGAAGCTCGGGAAGAGAGCACTAGAAAGCATACCCGTCTGCGCTCTTCCGCAATTTCAGCTAGAATCTGGTCCTTGTAAGGGAAGTTGTTCGGAATGCCAGGATCTTTCTCATGTTCTGTAGCCTTGATGAGCTCTGCACCGCAACTGAATGACCACTCTGAACGTACTGCTTTTCCATTGCGGGTTTTTCTTTGCCTCCTTCTTCCTCTTCTTATTGGTCTCGGCCGCCTTGTGCTTAATTTTCTCGCGCTGGTTGGTCGAACCGCGCTTGCTTGTCTCTGAAATATTTGGTCAGTCCGCCGCTCCATGAGAGATTTCAGATGTACTCACTTTTGCGGATGCGAGGCATGATGGCGGGATGAAGGAAGGGTTGACGTTGTGGCGGCCAATCAGAATGTCCTGAGCGCCCTTGCCAAAGATTGCGATCAAACTGAACTGCAACTTTGCTCTCGGTTTGCTTCCGTCAATTGAACGAACTTGCTCATTTCCGTCTTTTATGCATTGCTTTTGTTGATTGATCCACGGGCTGTTGGTTGCCAATGTGCGACCTCGCGACCACAATTGCGCTGCTCTCACGCATGTGATCATCTGGGTGCAGCGTGTCTATTGTTACGGCCCCATTTCGCTAGAAGCCTCCGCTTACGGCCTGCTTGAATGGGGTTTACTTATTGTTTCCCTTCATATGAATACTACTGCGACTAGCAGTGCCTCGACAGGCCCCAGCGGTCCTCCCCGTTTTCTACCTCCACTGACTAGACATTCTGCATACTGTATTCGACGTTCGACTGTATCGATCTACTATCTATCACCGGCCTAATCTCTCACCATGTCTCATTCTGTTATTCGCTTCCCTCCCCCACCGCCTACCAGCAACAACCTGACGGCCGAGCAGCGCGCTCAGCTCATGCGCACCAACAAGAAACTCGGGCAGCTGCTGGGTAGCACGCCTCATGTACTCGATTTCTGCTACACATCGGGTACGCGCTCGGATTATCCACAATGTCATGCTCGCTGACAACGTACTCTGCACAGCCTCTTCGCGTTCAGCCACGCCCGTTCGTGTGACCGAGAGCAAGCCACTGTGGAACGTTTTCAAGAAACGCGGCCGAAGCAAGTCAACTCCCAGAGTAGTCGACGAGGACGATGAGGACGAGGACGATTTTGTCCGCGTTCATGCTCCACCACGTCCGAGCACGTCCACTTCGTCTGCCTCCTCTGTCAAAAGCCACGGCTCTGTGGACAGTGAGCGGCTATGGCGGACTCCGTACCGTCCCTCGCAGCTCCCCCCGCTATTACAGTTAGTCCCACCAAAGTCCAAGTCCAAGTCCAAGCCAAGGCCTGAAGCCGTTTCCTCTTCTCAACACGAGGGTGAGGATGAGGTCTCCGCACCAGACTCGCCTGGTGCGCCTGCGTTCAACATCACCTCCGACGCCGCGATGCGCCGCAACAAAATGCTCCGCCTCACTCGCAAGCTCGGTGAGGGTGTCCCCGTCGACCTCGTCTTCCCTCAGCAGACAGATGCAGACTCAGAGGACGAGATAGAGACCCCGCTCCCGGAGACACCAGCATCAGACACGAAACTTCCCTTCTCCTACGCGTTGCCCACTATCAGCGAGGATCTGCCGTCCGAGCCTCGCTCTCCCCTCCGTCACGACACAGCGTCCCAACCTCCGCGCAAGACCAGCTTCGCGAGGGAGTACGAGCGGCTTCCGAGCTATTACGATGCGGTGCGCGTGGTCGACGGACCCGACGAGCACGGCGCGGGCGTATGTGCCGTTGCACCACCGCCGCCCCGCAAGGAGCGCAGGGGACGACGTTCCGAGCGTTCGGCAAAGACGAGCAAAGACGAGCAGATGGTATGCTTGGGAGTCTCCGCCAGTGCTGGTATGAATGGGAAGGGGTTTAGTCGGCGCTGGGTCAGAGGTCAGGTACCATACGACCAGATCGTTGCGGGAGCGTGGACTCCGTGGTAGAGGGCTGAGATACCTACTATTTAAGTGGACGACAATCCGCGCGGCTGGCCCGCAAGGAGATGCACCAATTGGGGTCATGCGGATGTACCTCTCAGTTGCTCCTCATCTCGTTTTTTGGCGCCTCCTACTGTACATTTTAACTTCATGTAATTGTGCATGATCTAGGACATTCGCCTGCAATATACCTTTATTGTCACGATACCTGTCATGCTGCGCACGTAGTGGCTGTTCTATGGTAACAGTTTGCGATCCGTCTCAACGGTTGTGACTGTCAATTATGTGGCCCGGCAAGCCGTCAAAGCCTATCGCGATATTTATGACAAACATATTGCTCCCATGAGCACCAGAATATTTTATTTTCATGTTGACCTTACTCAAGAAACCTAAATCTGTAAGCATACAGCTCCAGAATGAGGACATTTCATTCTGAGCAGCAGCCATTAAAAGGAGAAAGCACGGACACCCATCCCATGAATTCTCACGGCTGAGTGATTGCCTCTACACCGCAAGATGCTCGACGTTGAAATGTGATCGTGGGCTGATCTTGCACTTGAATGGTTTCGTGTGTCTACAGGAAGCCCTTCATGAACAACAAACTTATAATTAAGATTAATTGCAATACCTGACGGCGGCTGAGTCGAACGAGGCGGTGGGGGTAATCTCGTTCCCTTCCTCGTCCACGGCTTTGGAGATGTCGAAGCAGGCAAGGATGCTCACCATCACGAGCCAGATGGTCGAATCGGCCAAGTAGCGTCCCGGACAGATGCTAGCAAGTGGTGCCCATTAGCACGCCTGATAGTAAGACTTGCATGTGTGTAAATTTACCGCCGGCCGAATCCAAAGACGAGCTTGGACGGATCATGCAAATCTAGGGTCGTCGCGTCTAGCTCGTCAAAGCGCTCCGGGCGGAACGTTTCCGGATCTGGATATGGATGGGGATTGCGCGTCATGGACCTGCCAGTAGTGGGAATGATTGATGTTCATTAGGATGATGATGATGTTGAAGAGATACGAACCATATGTTCGGCACGATCATGGTGCCTCCAGGTATGTGGCGCCCTAGGTACTCGTCATCCGCGATGGACTGATGCGGAACTCCTGCAGGATGTGCGAGCTCAAGATGCTCGTTTCACGGCTGAGGTCGGTTACCGCTTACCTAAAGTAACAGGGCAGCTCCACCTGATATTCCAAAATTATTACCACACAAAATGTTCACTCCCAACAACGACGCACCGCAATAGCTCTTGCAACATTCGTTCGACATATGGCAACGAGGCCCTGTCCCCAAAATCCGGGAGCCGTGTCAGACCAATGGCACTATCAATCTCTGCTTGTGCTTTCTTGCAGACTTCTGGGTGGAGAACCATCGCGAGGACGAACGCAAGGAGGACCGTTATACTCTGCATACTTCATGAATGGCTGCCATGATGATCGATGAAGTAAAATCGCCCACCGTCTCAATGCCAGCTGTGCGCACAGCGAACTTTGTCACTTCAAAATAAATTGTTGGACAACCGAGTAAAATATTTACCTAAAAACAGACCGCCCGCAGCTGCCACAAGATCGTTTTCATCCTCTTCAGTCAGCTCTCCAGTCTGCCGCAACTGTTGCAAGACTGAGGTAACAAAGCATGCCTTTTCAGTCCCAGGTACCTGAACGTGCGCAACAATCCGTTATGACCAATTGATCTCTCATTCTCGTCCGACATACCACCGCTTCCTTGGCCGATTTATAAGGGATCTCCATAGCATTCCGTATAGAGTGCTTGATACGGAGAGCCTTTCGTTGGAATCCAGCCCCGGGCATCCAAGCAGGAAGATATCTCACTGTTCGTATGCATGAGAAGCTACACTCTAATCCTCAGCCGAGACCATGCAAACGCGAGACACCCACACATCGGAATGAAATCAATCAATGCAGCACCAAGGTTTCCTGCCCCTGTGGCATCTGCGACCGCCTGTGCCGCCATTTTGATGAATTCCTCATCCTGTGAGGATCCAGATGTACGTCCATACGTTATGCGCAGCACGAAGGCGCCAACGTATCTATGGGCCGGCATTAGGAGTTTGAAGCGAGCCATGATGCTGCGAGAGCACCGGCCTCTTAATATGCGTCTCAAAATCCTCCGGACTCTGGATGAGTTCCCAGAGCAAGCGGCGGACCTGTTTGATTTGCATCTCGCGATACGAGTCCAAGGCACGCTTATCCAACAGCGCGGTTTGCATCCACTTTCGATGCCGCCGCCATTGTGCGCCGTAGGGGAGAAGAGGAGTGATGATCCCCAGACCGAGCCTGCACTGTTTTGTCAGGACTATTCGTCTGACGGCACGAAACAGACGCTCACGACTCGCGCAAGAATACCAGGGGCGGCCTGTCTGAGTAATTCGCGCCCTTGGTATCCATAAGATCGTTGGCTGCCTCGACCGAGTTGAGGAAGAGGACCGGTCGCTGTAATATGCGCACGTAGATAATTGACCCTGGATGGATCAGCAAGCATCTCACGTTACGATGCGCACTAGAAATAACTACCGTAGCGTTTCTCCCATTCTGCGAAAGTGGTATGCTGAGACACGAGGGGTATTTGATGGACGTTGCCGAGCAACGGCAGACCGATTGGCCCCGGAAAGAGTCGGGCATTGCGCCACACTTTATAGCCGAAAAGCCACGCAAGAGAAAACCCCACGATGAGCGATGGGATGGCGACACTCATGGGGAGGTCACTGATGCTGGTCATTGTGGGCGAGGTCGTCCAAGTAGGTTGCTGTCGCATCATGGTGAAATGCCCACTTGATGGAGGGATTTATAAATGGTTGACAAAGATGAGGACAACTCGGCTGTTATCGGCAACTGGATAGGATTTCATTCAGTACAAGGGACTCCGACATTGGAAGAATGGTGGGCTGCGATCGTCGGAGTGGATTGCGATCGTCGGAGTGGATGATAGGACCGTAAGACATAATGCAGACTCATTGGTCCACGAAGACGAAGATAAACGATGCCAGACTCACCGCGATCGGGAGTCTAGAACATATCATATAGCCATCCAGAGGCGGAATCTGTCATCTCATTGTGAAGGGTTGATGTCTATTCAACAGAAGTACGTATTCCCGCCTGTGGTCCATTTGCAAGCTGTGAGGGCAGTGAATTCATCAAAAGATACAAGCTCACCTAGATCGAATATCTGACATTACGTGGTATACCTCAAGTAGAAATAGCACACGAGGTCATCAACCTTGAATGCAAGGTCAAATATCGACAACGGAAAGAAGTCTTCCCGTTATCACGCGGTGACTGCGGGACAGCCGGTGCTCACACGAATGTCACCGTTTGAATGCGATGCCTCCGAGCTTCCTCGCAACAGCTGTAGGTTTCCGAATGGCTGGCTAGCCATCGGTACCGCCAGGACGCTACTGTATAGAACGGGTGACAAGTTTCGCAGCAAGAGGGAAATCATGGGGCGGATTCCGAGACAGACTTGTGGAACTGCGTGAGGAGAAAACTTCTACCAATCAAGATGATTTGCAAGACATCGACAACATCGGTACGGCCGTAGCTCGACTTACTACCCCAAACTGAACTGATCACAGGGAACGACCAACAGCATTGCTGATTTCGAACGCATCTTGAGTTTTTTAGGCCCGGCCTTCCCTCCCAGCAACGCCATTGAGAGGATGAGCAACAACGTGGACGAATCCACGCAAACGAATTACGTGTAAGAGACCTACGGTGATGACCAAGTTGGAGAACCACGTGCGGCTGGCGCTACAGATTCTCAATGAATGTACGCTATTGCACCCGTTGTGACGGGATCCTGAACCGGAGTATCGTGTGACGACATCCACCTAAACGGCCATGCTTCACAATCTATTGAATTAACCATACCAGGACCCCCGAAAATCCCTATGTGAGGCCGGTCGGCCATCCGGACACATATGGACACTTTCGAGGCCTTAGGCCAGTCTGAAATCCGGACAAATGACTCCCAAATGTCCAAAATGCCTGTCAAAATGTCCAGACATTTTCTCCGTATGTATTGATAGGCCGGTCCGGCATCCGGACATGAATCAAGGGGGAGGTCGAGACAAAAGCAGCAATTACAGTCATCAACCGGTAAATGAGACGCTCAAATCGTTTTAACACTCTAGCAGGAGCATTTTCACATAAGAATGAGATCGGACCTTAGGCATATTTCACACAGTACAGAAGCATTATGCTTATGTAGTTTTACCCTTTATCGACTGTGAACAGAGGGCATGGGGAGTGGATCAGTGTCGCAGTTCTTATCAATCTAAATTCGCTCCTTGAGACATGGTCACGTCACGCTTTTTCCTACCATATTTGGAAACAAATAATTGATGTGTCTCACTCACATTCTCCACTCTCTTCTGCCCATTTTTATCGCAATCATCCTCGGTATCACTCTCTCTGAACCAAGGCTTTTGAATCCTGGCTTGATACATGCTGGCCTTTGATGCTCTTGCTTAGTTTTATTAAGTTTTGCCTCCCAATTCAGACTTCTTGACTGTGAAGTCAAACTCAGCCCTCCACCAAATATGGAAATAGTGTGATGTAACAGAGGGCCGCCGCGTCTCATCATCAAGCCTCTCATATGCAGTGTCATGCTCGTTCTGTCTGTCTATCACTCATTTCCTTTTGTACTACTTTCAAAACTTGAGAAACGTGTAGCTAATAAGCTAAGCTTTGATGTAAAACTCATAATTGGTAGCCTAATGCAGATACAGAAGCATGAAAAATCGTAATTGGTGTCACAGTTTTTACCTGACAAGTCATTATAGGAACAAATGCTATTAAGAAGCATATCATTTTTCATCATTTCTCGTCGCACAAGAAGTCATGTGACCTAATGAGATAAGATAACAAGGCATCTAGTCACATGACCTCAGATCTCCCTCGACATTGTCACGTGACACCGAACTCCTCGGCATGGTGTCACGGCACACCGATGACAAAGATAGACAACCAAAATAGAAACCCCTTGAGGGCCTCCTGGCTAAGAGCTGACAGCGACGAGCTGTGGCTATACGACGTGCCCACTGACGAGGCCTAGTTGCTAGTCGCGGAGTAGTACTTACTGGCGAGGCAAGAGGTGCTATCACAGATAATGAGAATGCAAATAGAATGTATAGCACACTGCGAGTGTCTGGTAAGACCCCGCTGTGATGGTAGTGGTGGACGAAGGAGAATAAGACTGAGGTCTCCTCCTCGTCTCGCTGGTCCTTATATACATGATTGCTATGCTACTGTACAGTACTACCTAAGCGAGTCACATGCTATCCTACTGGTCAGTGCTGCAATCGTACGACATGTCCCAATTATCCTGATTGGCTGCCTAACAATAACCCACGGAGACGGAGCTCCTCTTGAGCACGCAATATGGTGTCATGGCGATTGCGACATATGACGTCATACCGAGGGGCTCGGTGTCACATGATAATGCCGAGAGAGATCCGAGGTCATGTGACTGGATGCCTCGTTATCTTATCTCTTTAGGTCACGTGACTTCTTGTGCGACGAGAAATGATGAAAAATTATATGCTTCTTGATAGCATTTGTTCCTTTAATGACTTGTCAGGTAAAACCGTGACATCACCCCCTTCTCAAGGTTCATCATCCTGATGAGCCAAAGCCTCTGGCGCCACGTATTGTTCTTTTTGCGAGTGAACTATCTGCCTCCGAAATGATTCCTGGGGCGTAGCGTTCGCATATGAACTGGGCGATACGATCGCCTGTCTTGACCTCAAATGGTTTGCTTGTCGTGTTTACAAGCAGAACCTTGATTTCCCCTGTGTAGTCTGGGTCTACTACCCCTGCTGCGACGTCGATGCCTTTGAGGGCTAACCCACTTCGGGGAGCCACTCGAATGTACGTCCATTTTGGGGGGTCGACTGCCAGTCCGGTGCCAACGAGCATTCTAGAATGTGGGGGAATGTTTAAGTCTTGCACGGACTTGACATCCCAACCTACAGCTTCACTAGATCCCTTGTAGGGGGCTCGGGCATTTGGATGAAGGCGGAAGAAAAACATGAACTCATCAGGGTGATCAGACAGAGCGATTTTGTGTGCTTTGCGCGTTCGCGGCTCAGCTCTTGGAGCGTCCGGATGTGTCTTATGGAATTCCTCTACTTTGTCTTTGACATTTGTGAGGTTCTCCAGTGGTTCCCAGGTATTATCGCTGTGGTCATAGTCTAACCACTTGACGAGATACTGGGTTTTGTTATACCTGATTCTTGAATCGAGGACGTCCTCTACGTCCCATTCTTCCTCTCCGTCGATGATGACTGGAGGGTTGGGGGGAGGTATGCGTCCAGGAATCGAGTCTTGATGGAACATGATTAGCTTTGAAGCGTGGAACACAGGGTGTATTTTCATGTCTGCTGGTAATTGCAGTTTGAACAATACGGTCCCGATCTTTTTGAGGATCTTGAATGGTCCATAGTTTTGGGTCGCAAGCTTCTGGCTTTTGACTTTTACATGGAGATCTTTTCCTCGAATAAGCACTTCGTCTCCCACCTTGAAAGGGACGTCCTGCTTTTTAAGATCGAAATACCATTTCATATGTTCTGCTGCTAATGACAGAGCGGCACGCGCTTGTTCCTGTGCTTGGTCGCGGTTATGGAATAAATGTTCCAGGGATGGATGTTGTATTCCTTCCAATACATCGGGTGCCATGCGGGGATGTCGACCATACTCTATGAAGAACGGTGATAGACCTGTCGATTCTGAAGCTTGGTTGTTGTATGCAAACTCCGCCGTGGGCAATAATGTGGCCCAATCAGTTTGTCGATAGTTGCAGTACATGCGCAGATATTGCTCCAGAATCTGATTGACTCGTTCAGTCTGTCCGTCCGTTTCCGGGTGATAGGCTGTAGACATTGTCGACTTAATGTGAAGTTTCTGACAAAACTCCTGGAATAGTTTGGCTGAGAACTGGGTGCCTCGATCAGATATGATCTGCCTAGGAATTCCATGGAGTTTGAATACTTCATTGTAGAAAATCGACGCTACTTGAGATGCCGTCACCGTGTCGTCTACGGCATAGTAGTGAGCATGTTTGGTGAATCGGTCGACAACTACCAAAATGGCAGTCTTCTTTTCTCCCCTATGGTCTGGGCTTGGCGGTAGCTGTGTAATCAGGTCACAGGTAACCATTTTCCAAGGCCCCTGTGGTACTGGATTAGGTTGTAGTAGTCCATACGGCTTTTGCTTGCTCGTCTTATTTCTTTGACAAGCCACACAGCCTTGGACATACTTTTTGACATCAATGGTGAGCCCTGGCCACCAATAATTCCTGCTGATCAATTCTTGCGTTTTCCATCGTCCGGCGTGTCCGGCGGTGGAAATGTCATGATGTAGCTTGATCAGCTCATTCCGCAGCATAGAATCCTTTGGAACGTAGACCTTTCCTCTTCTGAGCAGCAATCCATGCTCGAAGTTCCACTCTTGAAGGTCTTTTCCGAACTCTCGCTTGCCAGTTTTTAGTAGGTGCTGGTAACCTTTGGTCATTTCATCGTCTTGTAGTGCCGATTTCACTCTTTCTAGAAGTTTTGCATCATCAACTTCGGAGGAATGAGTGGCTGAGATCGCGTGGATGGCAAAATATTCGGGTCGAAGTAAAGTTTGCCCTGAATTGTCATTGCTCACCCCCTTCTCATGATCTGGCCTCCTGGACAGAGGATCGGCACGCATCATCGTCTTTCCGGGGCGGTGACGGAGAATGAAGTTAAATCGTGTAAGGTAAAGTGACCAACGTGCTTGTCGTCTGGTCAATGTTTGAGCTTGACGGAAATAGGTAAGGTTGAGGTGATCCGACCATATCTCAACCGGGTGAGGGTGTCCTTCAAAGTACTGCCGGTATTCTTCTAATGCCCGAATGATGGCTAGCATCTCCTTGTCATAGATCTCATAGTTTCGCTTGTGTTCATTGAGTAATTTGGAGTAATATGCGACAGGGTGCCAAAGCTCATCTTCTCCCAACTGTTCAAGGACTGCGCCTGTGGCAAAGTCCGAGGCATCTGTCTCTAGTCGAAAGGGACGGATTGCGTTGGGGAGTGCGAGGATCGGGGCAGAAGTGAATGCAGTTTTGAGGGCCTCGAATGCCTTTTGTTGAGAATCTTCCCATTTCCATTGTGCGTCCTTACGTGTTAATAGAGTCAAGGGTCGGGTCATTGATCCGAAATCCTTGATGAATCGTCGATAGAAATTTGCCAGACCAAGGAATGCTTGTACTTGCTTTACCTTGGTGGGCACTGGCCATTTGAGCACGCCGTCGACCTTTTCTGAGTCCATCTGTATCGACCCTTTGGAGATTATTAGTCCGAGAAACTTGACGAAAGTGGTCGCAAAGTGACACTTTTCTGGTTTTACGAACAGGTCATTGTCTCGGAGTCATTGTAAGACTTCTTTGGTCAGACGATCGTGCTCCTCCTGGTTATCCGTGAAGATGATGATGTCGTCTATATAAACTGTCACCTTTTCAGTGCGAATGAGATCGCCTAAAACGTCGTTCATCATGGCCTGGAAGGTGCTAGGGGCATTACAGAATCCGAAGTACATGACAGTGGGTTCAAATAACCCTCTATGGGTAATAAACGCTGCTTTTTCCTCATCTCCCTTGCGAAGGCGTACATTATTGTACCCCCATCTCAGGTCTAGTGTAGTAAATATACTAGCCCTTGAGAGTCCGTCAATTAGATCATTGATTCGGGGGAGTGGGAATTTGTTCTTCTTGGTGATACTGTTTAATGCCCTGTAATCTTGAACTAGTCTAAGAGACCCATCCTTCTTTTTAACGAAAAATACCGGAGCGGCGTAAGGGGATTTAGACGGTCGAATGTAGCCTTTGGCTTGTTCGCCGTCAATCCATTCGTCGAGCGAATTCTTCTCTCGTAAAGACATAGGGTATACTTTTGCCGGTCTCGGGGTTGCCGCGTCTGGGACAAGATCAATTGCGTGATCGTAGGGCTTACGCGTCGGCATTCTTTCTGAGCTCTTCTTTGAGAACACATCTCCAAATTGATGAAATTCTGGAGGGACGAATTTGGACCAGTATTCTTTGTCCTGTGTCTCTTCTGCCGGCTGTTCTACCAAATGCTCCTTTACCTTCTTGCTCCTTTACCTTCTTGCTTATGCCTAGGATGTCGTGCACCATGTTACGAAGATCCTGGTCTTGCAAGTCTATCCAATTGATGAAGTTATCTTCCTGATCCCACCCGTCATCCATGTGTACGTCAGGGAGGATTGCCTCATCTTCGAGCCGAGGTTGCGATAGAAGGTTGACCTCTTCTTCGCATACTTGGACTCGTTGCTTTCTCGTGTGTCTGCATCTTGAGAACATGACCTCTCTGTGTTCCCAGTCAACTCGGGGGTTGTGTTCTTGTAAAAATTTCATGCCGAGGATCATTGACATGCGTCCAAGGTTTGTGACGAGCAAACTCTCAGTTGATCGGTGCCCCCCGATTAAGATGCTTGTGACTACACGATGAGTAATTGCGCCACCCTTGTTGGGGCTGGCGTCTGCGTTGAGGATTCGGATTTCATGGTTTAGAGGTATCATTTTAAACCCATGCTTCTCAGCAAATCTTTGGTCGATATAGCAGGAGAATGCTCCAGAATCCAATAGTGCCGTTGTCTGGATTTCCCGTGATACGAATCTTATCGGCAATTCGATCGAATGTTTAGAAAAACCTGCTGATGCAATATATATGTGGTCGCTAAGTACATTCGTTCTCACAGTACTAATACAATTGTCTTGAAGTGTGACACCAGACTCGTCTACACTTCGTACAGAAAATCCTCTGAGAATTCGTCTATCTCGACGATTCTCGCATTGGTGTCCTTGACCGTGGATTTCGATGCCATTGATGCCATGTCCATGCTATTTGCCTTGCCTTTGCCCTTGCTGGACAGTGGTGTAGTTGACGTTGTGCTCATCCCGCGAAGTGCAGCAATTGCTTGCTCCAGTGCCGCAATTTGAGCTGATGAGCCCGCGCTACTTTCTTCTTCCACCTGTCGCACATTTGTCGCCTTGCCCTTCCCTTTCCCTTGTCCTTGTTTCGGGGCAGGTCGTGTCTGAAACCGTTTTCCCTTGTATTCAGGCCTGGGGGAGGGACATCGCTTTCCCCGTTCATAGGCGTGCTTTCCGCAAAACAAACATAGTTTGTTTGCCAGCCATCTGTCCTGTTTCGGGGATAGTTCGTGTGCGATTCGTGTGCTAGTGTCCATTGCGTTAGGGTCTTTAGGGGCGGTCGCCTTGGTTCCAGTGGTTTGTCTGGTAGACTTGTTGCCCGTCATCTGCTGGAGATGTTTGATTTCGATTTCTAGGCAGAATTCCAGGTAGTCCATCCAAGTGGTTGGAATCTTGGAGGGATCTAAAGTCTCCGTTACCGACATAACCATTTGAATATGGGTCGACCGTTGTTCCCTGATTTTGACGATTAAATCTTCGTCGGAGTATCCTGATTCGGGGGCGTATGCCCTGAAATTCTCCGCGAAGGCAATCATTGTCTTGTGGCAGATTGCGCAGTGTGCGTCTAGCAAAGATTGTGCCGTGCGCTTGGGGTCAAGCGTCTTGTATGCCATTTCTAGTTTCCTAGTGTATTCTGCCCATGTACCAACGTCTTGTCCGGAGGCGAGCTTGATTGCATACTCTTTCATGTATAGAGCAGCTCCGCCTTCCAAATGCGCGTTGGCTTGCCGAATTTTGTCCTTGTCGTCCGTGAAATGGTTATAATCGAGCCAGATGAGCAGGTTCATGAACCAGGTTTCAAAATTTTCTGACGACTTTCTCCCCGAATACTTAGGAGGATCGGGGAGCTTGATTCGACGTGGCGATTGGCTGGATTGGTCGATCGGTTGTTGGATACCTGAGGGCGCATTGATGATGGCATTATTGAGTCGAGACTCTAGGCCAACGATGTAGGTAGTGGTCTTCTCCTGAGCCTCCTTCAGGGTGACCATGCTGCCGTAAAGGGCGTCCATCTGACCCTTTACTTCATCCTTGTAGTCTTCGAAGTCCTTGCGAATTGCTTGGGCTTCGAGCGTTAGCGTGTTATTTGCCTTAATGAGCCTTTCGTTGTCGGCTGAGAGGGCACCGATCTGGGCTCTGGCAGTTTTCAGCTGATCTCGTATTTCTACTGCCATTATTCCGACGTGAATACGAGCCAGTACTTCCTCTTCCAATGAGGCCACCGTTCATTCGTGACGCTCATCCATCTTTTGACGTAAAGCTTCGTACGAGCTTACAACATCTCTCATGACGAATGACTGTACCACGTTCATTACCCATTCCTTGACGTCGTTTGGAATGGTATTGGGTGCAGCGGCATTGGCCGCTTCCTCAATGGTTGCGTAAGGAACTCCCTGCCATTCCCAGGTCTGAGGTGTGGAAAATGCTGGCAGGGTAGTGGGCAACGGGTTTCTGACTACTCCTGACACCTTGGGTGTGCTGCTGTTGTGTTGTTCTTCGGCAGGGGCAGCTGGTCCTGCTTCAGACGATGTGAAAGTGGCCTGACTCCTCCAGGGATCAGCAGGCTCACTCATTGTGTGTCCCCCGGGGAACGAGACATTTCCAAGGTTGTATTGAGACATGGGAATTGATGTCGAAGATAATGGAAAGGATGTGACAGACAATGTGTGGATTGATCTTCGATCTCTGCCTTAGAAAGGTTCGGCGTTTTCCTCGATGAGTCCTTCTTCTTCTAACTCCTCTCGTAGAGTTTCTGCTCGGTCGTGCCAATATTCTTGCTCTTCCTCAAGATCAGGAATGAGACGGAATGGAGCTGAGTAGGTGGTATAGGCGTGTACTTGTACCGTGTAGTGGTAGAGTACTTGTTGCCAATTGGTGACGAGAGGTTGATAGATGAAGTACGCGGTGCAGATGACTGTGAGTTGTCCCTGCACCGGGCGATAAAAGTCCACGATGTAGTTTTGGTATACGAACGCGATTTGATAGCGGGGCATAAAACTACTTCGTGATGATACAAAGAATATTACTGGTTCTAATAAGGCCAGTAGCACGACTCCTTCTCGAACTTTACTATCTCCTTGCCTACGCGCTCCTGCTCCTTGTTGATTCCCTTGAAGGAAATCTTCCCTAGTCCTACGCAAAGCTTAATAGCGATGCGCCTATCGACGAATGTGAAATCGTGCCCTGCTCCGATGCGATCGTTTATGACGGATAAGTGTCAGAGAATTCGATCTCGGCACTTCAACTGTTCCTCTGTGAACTTGGCAGTGATGTGAGGCTGCTGTAATACTTTGTATCGCTGAATAGTAGCGTATACAGTTGGCGCAATGTTCTCGGGGAGGGTTCCTTTAGGATTCTCGTGAATTCCGCGAGGATGGTAGCTCTTTGAGAGCGCGAAGTTAAGGACATCGATGGCGGGGAATGTAGTGTAGGGATGAATAGGTTGAAGAGGAATGAATGGGGTAAGCGCATCTTTTGGAATGCCTTCAAGCCAGAGGCTAACCTTGCGCTCTTGTTGGCGACGCTCAGCTGTAATGCCTTGCGAGCTAGCTTGTGGTGGCTTTGCTCAGACCAGATTCCCCTGGGTTAGGCGATGCGTGCGACGGGGATCGCATTGGTACGGGTGGTAGCGTCCGTTGGGCGGTACGATACCGTTATGTACTTGGAGCGCTTTACCGGTTGGTGCAGCGCTGTTCCTTTTGAAGGAAGGAAGCGGCTTAGGCGGTAGAGACGCGGAGGAAGTGTATGAGGGAAGTGGTGTGGAAAAAGCCCTGCCCTGGGCGGATGTATCTCTGGGCGAAAATGCGCGGCTACCAGTGTCAGACACTTGGTAGGGGCGTAAAAGGTCAGTCTTATTCTAATGTCATGGCACGCCGATGACAAAGATAGACAACCAAAATAGAAACCCCTTGAGGGCCTTCTGGCTAAGAGCTGACAGCGATGAGCTGTGGCTATACGACGTGCCCACTGACGAGGCCTAGTTGCTAGTCGCGGAGTAGTACTTACTGGCGAGGCGAGGGGCGCTATCACAGATAATGAGAATGCAAATAGAATGTATAGCACACTGCGAGTGTCTGGTAAGACCCCTCTGTAATGGTAGTGGTGGACGAAGGAGAATAAGACTGAGGTCTCCTCCTCGTCTCGCTGGTCCTTATATACATGATTGTCTGGCTACTATACAGTACTACCTAAGCGAGTCACACGCTATCCTACTGGTCAGTGCTGCAATCGTACGACATGTCCCAATTATCCTGATTGGCTGCCTAA